CCCATCATGCCTCTACCATTGGGAGTCATGCTTGTAATTGTCAATCTTGCAATGCCTCATGGGACTTGTAGTTTGGCAACAGCTGGAGGGACACCAGTTTGACACCTGTGCTTTAAAGAATAGACTTCCAAAATCACTCGCCTACAATAAATGGAGGAACCAACAGCATTGTTAGATAAGTTTGAACAATCGCTCTACTTGGGAGTCTCTGTATCGCATACATAAGCCCTTACTGATTTAAGAGCCTCTTGTACCATTACTGCCTGTGACCCTATAGACAGATAGTAGAAGTTATCCCATCTCGTGCTCCACCCACATCAATTTTCTTCCTGATATCCCAGATACTTGCTTTACCTCACTTCTCTTTCCCACTCGAAAATTCTTCTAATTTCCTCTCTACTCAGAATGACATGACCTCCCACTCCATTTATTCATACATAGGCCAACATCACACCTTTTTCGGTAGTCATTTTATGAACATGGACCCCATCAGTTTCAGACCTACAACCAGGGTGTGTTGGATGATTTATTCCATTAGAGACTGTGCTATATTTGTATTGTCACATGGGGATTGATTTACTAAAACTGTGCAGAATCTGATGCAGCTCTGCAAAGAAACCAGCTTCCATTTTTTTTATTTTTTGTCAAAGCTTAATTGAACAAGCTGAAGTTAAAAGTAGATTGGCTACCATGTGCAGCTTCAACAGATTGTACACTCTCCAGCTTTAGTAAATCTACCCCACTGTATCACTTGCCAATCCTCTGCATTACACTTGTACTTTGTCATGTATTGAAAAAGCTCAAACTCTCACTAAAAAAAAAAAAAAAAAAAAAAAATTAAGACTGAGTAGATAGAGGTACAAATCCTTGGGCACTGACAAACATATTTAGCGGCTTGCCTGAAGTTTAAAGGGTCACTAAAAGATAAACTTTTTAGTTTTGGATGGAGTGTAGGGGAATTAGCACTGCTGTCAATATTTATTGCTGTCTGTGCCCCCGTTAAGGAGATTCACCCTCTCTGTTTGTCCTGTTTACCATTATCACCCAACGTGAACGTAAAAGTAGATCCTAAATTTTGGGTTGATAGCAGAACAGTAATAGAGGGGAAATCTTCCAATGGGGATATTAGTTCTGGAGACACCCTGGGATTCCCTCACTGTGGAGGTATTTCATCTTTTCCTGTTTTGGCACTGTCATACTCTACCCAAAAATATAATAATAAACAAAAACAGAAAAACACAAGAATTAGGTCCCAGGTAACTCCTTTTCCATGAATCTTCCATGACAGCGGAGAGAGAGTATCCGCCTACCTAAAAAAGGAAACACATCATCCACAATCAAATAAAAAAGAGTCACCTAGCGTCCTCAGTATTAAGGAAGAACCGAAGGCAACTAATGAAATATCAAAATATAATTCAATACAACCCAGAATATAGGGGTGGGAATCCATACTGTTCTGGAAGATTCCTGAAAAAGGAGTTACCAGGTAACCAGCTCGTTTTCCCATTTCATCTTCCAGGACTGCACATGAAAGGACATTATAGAAATACTGATTAGGGTGGGCTACTGCTTCCACAAGGATTAATCCTGAAAGGACAGCACGGCAATCTGGATGTGTCTAAACATTGTATGAAAACTGGACCAGGTAGCAACTCTGTAGAGCTGTTGAGGCAAAACCACTTACTCTCTATTCAGGCCGAAACCAAAGACCTGTGACATGGCGGTAATCAACTGGGAGGTTCAACTTAATTGTGTACAGTGTGCTCTGAATAGGTGAATGTGATCCACCTGCCTATGGTGTTCTTAAGACACCCAAGCAACTGACTTGGGTCTTGTGACTAGTGCCAAAACAGACTCTTCACTTTTTCCCCATCATTTGGATTGCTTAAAATAAAATAGTATGGCTTTGCATCCTAACTTAGGATGGGTTTGAAAATAGGGAAGGAATTACCAATACCCAAGGTCCATAGCTTGGGATGAATTTTATTCAGACCCTCAGAACTAAGCAACCCCAGATATGCAACCCCATCCAAGACCACTGTCCCAGAATCATGGGGAAGCATATACTAAGGAGGCCCCTACAACTAACACAAAGGCCTGAGGGAAATTAAACCAATTCTGATGTTCCTGCTAGGCTGGAAGATACACAAGTACTGAGGACACTAGGTGACTGTGCTCTTTTTATTTGATTGTGGATGATGGGTTTCCTGTTTTAGGTAGGTAGAGAATCTCTCTTCATCATGTGCTGTTGTGGATGATGAATTGGGAAAAAAGGTTTACCTTTAGTAACACTTTAATTGTCATTTCATAAAACCATACAAATTAGTTCACAGGGACACTGCAAAGAAAACACTGACTGTTCAGTTAGGATGACACAAGATAATGCAACACAACTTTGATACATATATATACAAATTTTATTTTTTCAATGTCATAGTATCCCCATACATATTTTTACAAAACAAGAAAGGTACAAAAAGAAACTGCAAGAGTGAAATAGATATAAAAAAAAAAAAAAAACATTCAAATGTGTTTGAGGGAAATCACAAATGCTGTTAGTGTTCATTTGTGAGTTAATATATAGCTTAATTCTATCAAATGGTTATATTGCCTAGATATAACAATAGTAAACACAAAAAGTGAACATGTAGTTGGGACTACCCGTGTTTTCCCACCAGGTCAGTGAATGAGAACGATAATTTTTTTTAATGCATTCAAACTAAAACCTTAAAAGAACTTTTCTACATAATGTTTCAAGGACCCTGTAAACTACATTTCTTTTTTTTATTAGGCAACTATCTCAGTTTAGAGCTAAATTATAGTAAGCTGAAAGCAAAGTCAAATAATGGCCAAAAGTACTGAAGACTTAGGATCAAGAAGTCATATAATTGTTCTTGAAAAAGCATACAGATATAAATGATAGACTAGGCTACAACACTAGGCCAGCCTCAAATAAGTACTTCCACAAGGGCCATACAAAGTAGAAGTCTAGGGACGGAACAGATTTTGTGGTAATATAGCTATGTCTGTCTATCAGTTGGCATGCCACATTAACATTGGTTAACCAAGATTTTATTGGTCTCATTCATTCCAGTACCAGTTGCATTTTTGCAGTCATTTAGCACAAATTGTTCATACTTTTTGAAAATATAGTGTTAAGCGAATTGGAGTGTTGTAGACTATCACCGATTGCTATGAAATACGATACTCTAATACACTATCTGCCTAATTAAATATTTGTGTCTGTTCAGCTCCATAGATTTAAAACAGCCAAGAAACATGAAGTAACACCATAAAAAAAATATACAAATACTTATTAACCATGCCATAAAATATTAAGCCAGTAAAGCATATAGCTGGCACCATAGCAGCTTTGTAAAAACAGAAACTTTAAAAAAAAAAAAAAAAATACTGCAGAGCCCATTTGTTCCTTGTGCTCAAATTTATGTTCATTTTTACTGCCACTTGCGGCCCCATTGGGTAAATTGCCTTTTACTTTGTGTATTGGTGACATGACACCAGGACAGGAAATCATGGGAAATGTTCAAACACCACAAGACAGCAAAAAAAAAAAAAAAAACACTTTTGTTCAGCAGGGAAAGCCAAAACTCTCAACGGATTTCAGTTTCATGACTCCCCCCACAGGATACATTACCTCACTACGTGTCTTGGTGAAAACTTTGTCCCTAGGAAATGAAGAGAGGAATACTTACCCAAAAAGGTTCAGGTTGGGTTCACAACTGATGCAGTGTGGAATTTGCAGCATTTTCTGTGCGAATTCCGCACCAGAATTGCATCCTGTTCATGCGAACTGCTGCGGGTGTGTATGGTTAAGTTAGCAATACCCCGAAATCGATCCGCAAAACGTGGTGTGATGTGCAGAATTGGATCGCATAGGTGTGAATACGCATGCAATCACAGTCTAGTGCGGACCCAAAAAAGGGTCCTGCACCTTTTTGGTGCGGTGCAATTTCAGCCATATATAATGTATGGCTCCAATCGCACACACAAATCGCATGTGATTTGCACAGGATGTGGTGTGGTTCCTGCGAATCACACACCAATGTACTGTATTAGTGTGAACCTAGCTTAAGACCGCAGTAAAGACCTGATGGAGGTTCCAATCCTCTTACTCTCGATCCAAAATAACAAAAGGTTTTGGCTGGATTTACTTTATTCATACAGAAAGTCTACTGCCATCAATGTCCTGATCATCATTAGGCACATACAGCTTACCTAACAATCACACAGAACTTGAAACAGTGTGTAAGCATTTAAATCAAGCATAACCTGTACATTTCAAAAAAAAAAAAAAAAAAACAGTGGAAACCACTGGAGGCATTAGTTTTGGATTTCAATTAAATTACATGTAGAAGTTTCAACATTTAAATGGACAGAGAGTCAGGTCATATTTTATCTATATAAACAACAGAAAAAAACATTGCTCACATTCCACCGAATGAAAAAAAAACAAAAAAAAATTGTACAAAAAAACCACACTAAGCTAGAAAAGCTACTACAGACTGTGCTCAAGTCTTTAAAGTAGTTAAAAAAAAAACTTTTTTTTTAAATATATAAAGTAAAACCTGTTGTGGCAATTATGTCCAAAGAAAGGTCTGAATATTGCACATAAGGTAGCAGGAAATTAAAGCTCTCACAAATAGCAAATTTGCACTGCCAAAAAAAAAAAGTAAGAACAATGCAAACACTACATGCACTATCCCAAAATGGTATTATGTAGGATTACTCATTCTGTGTGAGATTAAGATTCCTAGCAACAAATCACTAACTCATTTAATTGTAATACATGAGGTCAAGAGAAAAAATAGTAGTAAAACGTCAGTTTGATGAAAAATTAAAGGCAACCAAAAGGCATAATATATATAGTTTTAAAAAGCATACAAGTTAAAAAAAAAAAAAAAAAAAAAAAAAAAAAAACACACACAAAAACTAGAACTATATGACAAGAAGAAGTTTTCAGTAAACATCCACAATTTCTTTTAAGCTTTGGTAGTTGGTCTATAACAAGCATCTGGCTGCCACATGCGAAGATCCACGAGCACCTGGTTAAGCTTGTGCATCCAGAGATTTCGTTCATCTTTAGTGTCTGCAGATAACCAGTTCCTAGAAGGAAAACAACAAAAAGGGTGTGCTATAAAATATGGCTGAAAATAGTGTTTTATTAAGTGTGTGCCCAGAATATCCACATTTAAGTATTGACATACAGTTGTGTTCAAAATAATAGCAGTGTGTTGAAAAAAGTGGAATAAAAGCTATTAGAAGGATTTTAATAGCTTTATTCATACACACAAATGCACTGGGAACACTACACATTCTATTCCAAATCAAAACATGAAGAAAAATAGATCAAAATTGTGTTGTTCCTCTAAAAAAATTTGAAGAAAAGTGAATATTAAGACTGTTCAAAAAAATAGCAGTGTTTGCATTCTTCTTTACAAACTCAAACATTCACTATATAAACTGAAAAATGTTTGAAGATTTTGCTTTCCTTTGAATCACTTAATGAATATTTAGTTGTATAAGCACTGTTTCTGAGAACTGCTGTACATCTGTGTTGCATGAGTCAACCAACTTCTGGCACCTGTGAACAGGTATTCCAGCCCAGGCTGATTGGATTACATTCCACAGTTCTCTCTATTTCTTGGTTTTTGCCTCAGAAACTGCATTTTTGATGTCACCCCACAGGTTTTCTATTGGATTAAGATCCGGGGATTGGGCTGGCCACTCCATAACGTCAATCTTGTTGGTCTGGAACCAAGATGTTGCACGTTTACTGGTGTGTTTGGGGTTGTTGTCTTGTTGGAACACCCATTTCAAGGGCATTTCCTCTTCAGCATAAGGCAGCATGACCTCTTCAAGTATTCTGATGTATTCAAACTGATTCATGATCACTGGTATGCGATAAATAGGCCCAACACCGTAGTATGAGAAACATCCCCATATCATGATGCTTCACTGTCTTCACAGTGTATTGTGGCTTGAATTCAGTGTTTGGGGGTCGTCTGACAAACTGTCTCCGGCCACTAGACCCAAAAAGAACAATCTTACTTTCATCAGTCCACAAAATGTTGCGCCATTTCTCTTTAGGCCAGTCAGTGTGCTCTTTGGCAAATTGTAACCTCTTCAGCACATGTCTTTTTTTCAACAGTGGGACTTTGCGGGGGCTTCTTGCAGATAGCTTGGCTTCACATAGGCATCTTCTAATTGTAACAGTACTCACAGGTAACTTTAGACCTTCTTTGATCTTCCTGGAGCTGATTGTTGGCTGAGTCCTTGCCATTTTGGCTATTCTTCTATCCATTCGAATGGTAGTTTTTCACTTTCTTCCACGTCTTACAGGTTTTGGTTGCCATTTTAAAGCATTTGCAATCATTTTAGCTGAGCAGCCTATCATTTTCTGCACTTCTTTATATATTTTCCCCTCTCCAATCAACCTTTTAATCAAGGTACGCTGTTCTTCTGAACAATGTCTGGAACGACCCATTTTCCTCAGAATATCAGAGAGAAATGCACTGTAACCAGCATGTACAACATTTGCTGCCTTCCTTCCTTAAATAAAGGCAATAATTGCCACCTGTTTTTCAAAGAATGAATGACCTCACTAATAGAACTCCACACTGCTATTATTTTGAACATGCCCCTTTCAATTAGTGATTCAATTACACAGAATCAGCAGCATGCATGTCATGACTGTTGGGTCTGTTGGATTTCTATTACTCTACTACACCTGCTAGTAAATTATTTGCCATGTAGAAATATCATTTCTACCAAAAACAGTGATTGATCAGGTTAGTGATGTCTGACTGCTATTATTTTGAACACAACTGTATATGGAACAAGCAGTAAAGCACTTTAAAACAAGCCTTCATTCACCTTTGTAGCTATAGACATTGTGGAAAAAGTAATCTTCAAATGTCACAGAGACATATTCTGCACATGGGAGATATGTATATAGAATGTCTGCATATTTATTGCAGAAAACCCTTTGTGACATCTTAAGTGCAAGCTGAATTTTTTTTTAACCTCACCAGAACATGAACGGGATGTCTGAACTGTGGTGGAGATATCAAAAGCCTATATCAGGGGTGCTCAACCTTTTGAAGAGCAAAGTCCACTTAAGTGATTTGGTAACTGGCCCCTGTCCACAACGAAATTAAAGGATTTAGAATTTCACATTTTTTTATTTAGAATAGCATAACAAACATTTTCCTCCTGCCGCTACTGAATGCTGGTGGGATGGAGTAGAGGAGAAACCAGCTTTCAGCAGTTGCAGGAGGAAAATGAATAGGATTGGTTCCTGGATATGCATCCCCTCCTGCCCAAGTGTAAAACAAAGTGTGACATGGAGGAATCATGGTTCCCCTGGAGCATGGGGCAGGATCGCCATTGTGACCCCTGACACTACACCAGTAATGGGGGTGTGTGATAAAAACATGTCTCAACTATGGGGTTTTACTGCCCCCAAACCGCAAATATACACAAGCCCCAATTGTCCTGAGCCCCCTATAAGGCAGCTTTCACACTGATATGCTGTGGTTTACCTACGCCTTAGCTGCACTTTGCCATAAATTTCTATTATATCTTGTGTGGAGCACATTCTAAAAAGAGCACCAAAACTCCTGCATACAGTTTGAGGTCAAAGGCCACATCAGAGGGCTTCAAGGGCCTTGGGATGAGCACCCCTTCTCTTATACAGTATAGAAGAGAAGAGTCTGCTGCAGAAGCACACTTAGTCACAACCTACACCTCTGTAATTGATCATATATGTTAGTTTTGTACCATACGACATTATCAATATGTAGGCTGCTGTTCATTGACAGAGGAAAAAAGTGTTCTTGGGTAATTTTTTATAACACAAGCCACTCACCATACACCTACAGCGATTGAAACCACTAAGCAGTAGGGTGCTGGTCTTAGTAAGAAGATAAATGACAGTACTTTTGAAAACGCTAGGCAATACCTAAATCCCTTTGGAATTAGTCTCCATTCCAGCACCTGAATCTTTGTGGGAGTGTAGCAGTACGGATGTGCATTAAGTCATTGAGGTCACCACCTGAGCTTGAAGCAGTCAGTAGTAGTAGAGGCCACTTACAGTTAGTCAAGAAGTCATGTTATGAAGCCTGTACTGTATTACTACAGTATCACAGCATAACAAAGGACACATACAAGGATTATAGCATATGTAAACAATCTGTGACATTTATATTAAGGGGCTGCAATAATGCACAGGCAGTGCCCTAAACCTCTGCACCGACATGGACTATTACAGCATCTATAGAGAAGTCAGAAGTTTGACACTGGGGTACAGAATAGATCCCACAGCATCTACAGAGATGTCAGAGGTTTGACACTGGGGTACAGAATAGATCCCACAGCATCTACAGAGATGTCAGAAGTTTGACACTGGGGTACAGAGTAGACCCCACACAAAGGGCATCAGTACAACACATCAAGGCAGACCATGATACATTGGTCATGTAGGGAAGTTGCATTTTGCAAAAAGGTAGTCCCAATCCCTTATAGCATATTGTGCAACCAAGCTTTCTTCCTCTTGACTATTAAACACAAGGCCCTACCTGCTCTCAGACATACTGTACCAGTAGCAGATGGACGAGTTTTTCTGTCAGACCCTTCTCAGGCTTGCAATTTGCTCCCCACAGACTACTTCTGCCTCAACAGCCAATGTGTCATTCAGATCAGGCAATGGTCTGATCCAACCCCCGGAGTATGCTAGGTACAGATAGATCTGGACATACTCTTTCCACATGTCCAAGACAACCGCTGTCAAAACAGCAATGGCTTTCGCAGAAGCCTTGTGAGAGTGCAGTTTCTTCCACTGGGCCTAATCACAGCTGATCACATGTAAACAGGGAAATGCCGGTTATCGGCATTCTCTCCCCACGAGCTGTCATGCTGGCAGCTCGTGAGGAGAGTTGGTAATCGGCATTCCTCAGAGGGGACATGTACACTGATCATCAGAGCACTGATGATCAGTGTGCCCTGATGATCTGTGTAGCCCCAGCAGCGCCACCTGTCAGTGTCCATCAGTGCCAGCTCTGTGTTCATCCATGCCACCTCAATGCCACATACAGTGCCCATCTGAGCTGTCTTTCAGTGCCACCTACCAATGCCAGTCAGTGCCACCTATCAGTGCCAGTCAGTGTCGCCTAACAGTGCCAGTCAGTGCCACCTATCAGTGCCATATACGAGTGCTGCCTTTCAGTGCCCATCAGTGATGCCTGTCAATGCTCATCAGTGCCACCTACCAGTGCCTCATCAGTGCCACCTATCAGTGTCCATCAGTGCAGCCTATCAGTGCCCATCAGTGCAGCCTAATTAGCGCACATCAGTGCAGCCTAATTAGCGCACATCAGTGAAGGAGAAAAATCACTTATTTACAAAATTTTTATAACAAAAACGAAGAAAAAAAAAATTTTTCTTCAAAATTTTTAGTGGTTTTTGGTTTGTTTAAGAAAGTAAAAAACCCAGAGGTGATTAAATACCACCAAAATAATGCTCTGTCACAAAAAATAATAACATTTTATATGGGTACAGTGTTGCATGACCGCGCAATTGTCAAAGTGCAACAGCGCTGAAAGCTGGAAATTGGCCTGGGCAGGAAGGGGGTATAAGTGCCCTGTAGGCTAGTGGTTAAAATGAAAACTCTCAGCATGCCTTTCAATGAAAGGACTCCATTATGTCTTCAACTAGATTTCCATTTAATGGCGTTTTTTAAATTTCACAATAGGAATGTTGCACAAAAAACAGAATCCTGCAGGATACACAACTTCTTTTAAAAAAAAAATAAAAAAATTTGTTCATCTCTAGAAAACTCTCCAATGCAAAGGCCAGAAGGTCTCAATCCAGGCCTAGTCCCACACGTCCTGTCCAGCAGGGACTGTGTAGAGCCTCCAAAGCTAACACTAAAGAGCTGCTGATTTAGATAGCTGCTATGTAGAGACCAGCTCAAAAGTGATTACAGCAAAGAATATTGCCTGAAGTCACCAAGATAAAAAAAGAAAAGAATTACACATCAGCAGTATAGCAAAACAATCTTACACACAAATTCAGTTTTACTTATAGTAAAAATCAGATCACCATAAGCCAGTTCACACCACATGCAGTCCAGTTTGTTTTTTTCTGCAACAAAAACACATTGATAGTAGGTTACATGGTTTCCAATGGCATAGCTCACACCAGCACAGTCACTCCAGTGTATTCCAGTTCCAGGAAAAAAAAGGTAGAGCATGCTGCATTTTTTCTGCAATGAACTGTACTGGAACGTAAGATAACGCTTTAAAAACGCACCTAAACAGACCAATAATGCACATGTCCTTATTTAAGTTGAAGAAAAAGAGGGGTGAAATTTTACCAAAACTCACCAGGACGTGTCAAAAACGCACATACAGAAACGCATCCAGATTGCGTTTCTATGGTGTGAACTGGTCCTAAAGCTAATGGGTTACTGCACTTGGCAAAAAATCAGCACTCTGTATTGCACAATCAGTTTTCATTTCTGAACAAAATACAGTCCGTCAAATGAATGGAAAAAAGATATAATCAAAGAAATGGTTTGTAAGACTGAATGCTTTGCCTTAAAGTGCATCAAACACCCTGACAATAATCTCCTCTTATTAGTTCTTTGTCTGGTAAATAAAAAGCATTTTGTTATATCGGTTTGATAGATGGAAAATATACTCGATCATTCACAGCTGTCCTGTGTTTTCTCAAAGAAACAAGTCCTCCCAGTTCCTATTTTGGGACTACAGATCAATTAGTCTTTATGTTGTGTACAAAGGACTAGGGGTGGGTCCGAGTAGTTTAGCAAAAAGACAACTGGGAGGGCTGACAATCTTCACAAAAATGCCACGTATTGTTAGCCCCCAACAGGGTTTAAAGTGGTTGTAAAGGCTGAAGGTTTTTCACCTTCTTGTATTCTATGCATGAAGGTAAAAAACCTTCTGTGTGCAGCAGCTCCCCAGCCCCCTCAATATTTACCTGAGCCGCATCGCGATCCAGCAATGTGAATGACAGCCTCTGCTGCCCTTGGTCTCTGCCTCCTCATTGGTCGAGACAGCAAGCGGCTCCCGCTGCTGTCAATCACAGCCAGTCAGACAATGAGGAGAGAGAGAGGGGGCGGGGCCAAGCCACGGCTCCATGTGTGAATGGACACATGGAGCAGTGGATGTTCCCACAGCAAGCTGCTTGCTGTGGGGGCACCTGACAGAAAGGAGGAGCTAGGAAAGCCTGCGGGGGACCCGAGAAGAGGAGGATCCAGGCTCCTCTGTGCAAAACCACTGCAGACTTTTTTGGTAAAATAACCAACAAGAACTTTTAGAAGAATCACTTTAAGAGCGGGACACATTTATATCACATCGTATATTTTTCTGTATTTGCCCAGGTTTCATCCCTTGAAACCTTGCAATGTGCATATATTGCAGAAGTGTACTGAAAACATGCACATACGGCAAACGTACCTTTAAAGCAACATTTAAGCTTGTTTTTTGTTTGTTTTTTAAAATTAAAATAATCATTATTATAGCTACCTGCTCTATGCAATGGTTTTGCACAGAGCAGCCCCGATCCTTTTCTTTTGGAGTCCCCCACCGGTGCTCCGGGCACCTTCGGCAGGTGACCCCATGGAAAGCCGCTTTCCATGGGGGCACCTGTGTGGGCTCGTTCCCGAGCTGCCCTGTCTGCATCCACTGACACAGAGAAGGTGGCTCAGCCCTGCCCACTGCTCCCTTGGCACAGCATTTGATTGTGAATGGCTCCCACTACTATCAATCTGCCCAGAAAGGAGGGAGACACCAGTGAGAGTTGCTGCTCTTGAGCACATTACTGAATCAATCAGCGTCAGGTAAGAATAAGGGAGGGGGAGGGGAAAGAGGGCAGCACAGAAGGTTTTTCACCATAATGCACAGAATTCATCAAGGTGAAAAAACCTTTAAGCTTTAGAACCACCAAGTATGCTCTCCCTCACAACTCCATCCCCACCTCTGACATTTTCTCTGTCGCTTCTTGTGGACAAAGCATCCTCCTTGGACAACAGGATTTTGCTAGGAGAAAATTTTTCTAGCACAATAGAGATGCAAAGTGTCTTCTGCCAAAAAGTTCTATCCCCTGGCATTTTTTTTTTTCAGACTTAAGTTCTACTTTAATTATAATTGTGCCTGCACAGATTTAAATATGTGTTCTTTTTTTGGCTCTCCTAGCTGTTGAATAAACAAGGTCAAGCAATTTACAGGCCAGCATATGTCAGGCTTCAGGTGATCTTTCACCCCCGAAGCTGAAGAATTAGCAAAGCAAATAAATTGCCAAATAAACCTATTCAAATCAGTAACCCAGCATTAACGTAGCAAGAATGAATATTTAAATTGTTGCATGATTAGCACTAAGTCTTTTTACTGATTAATCCCATGTAGTCTTCAGCTAGCAGAAGTTGATATAAACAGCGTTTTTGCATTCTGAATCCTAAATCACATCCTTGTAACACCTGCATTTTCTGCATCATTACCGATTAGATTCACTGCTGAGCCCCTGGGAAGAATTCCTGAATAGATCTGCTATATATATTGTTCCTTTGCTTATAGTACATTCCTATTAATTTCCCTCCCGTCATTATTATAATAAAATACATTACACACACCTCAATAAGAACTGGCAATTCAAACATAAAAGTACTTACTTGGTAACACACAGCGTGTCCCGGAATTGGCTGACTAAAGTTTCTCTGTCACCCTCTCTCTGTGGACGCACTGTTATCAGCTCAAATGTATTGGGTCGGGCGCAGAATTCCCGGTTGGCTGGTTCGATTTTTCTGCTTGTGCAGTTTGCCAAATTTATTCTGCCATTAGGATTCTGACAAACAAGAAAACAAGGAGGTAAGGAAGCAATTAAACTCTAAGCAGCACTATTTGTGTCTAAAAATATCCACTTAACCTGAGCCCTTTAGAAATTTTAAGAGACACGGTCACCATCTCTTTTTTTTTTTTTTCTTTTTTAAGCAGAGTACAGCACTGAGAACCCCAGGTAATCAAGTCCACTTTATGTTATAAAAATACTGTCATTGGTACCAATTTCAACTTTCCACTGCTGCAAAGATCAGCACTGCTGAGTGTCAGATTGTCCAGGTTCTCCCATTAGTCACTGTTCTGTATTCAGCAGTCTTGTGATATGTGTTCACAGGAAAGGCTGGGAGCAGGATCAGGAGAGAGGATAAACACGTATTCACAACCAGGATTATACCACACATGCCCAAGATCTCAGTACTGCATTACTTTATCGACAGCCAATTGCTGCTGGGGCCACTAAAGCCTCTAAATGATCAGCGTTTTATGACCTTTGATGGAGACATCTTGGTCCCTTTCAAAGTAATGCAGGTCTACAGGTATGAGTGAGGAGTAAAGTGACAAGTAAGAACCAGGTTAAAACCGCTGGGAACAGGGTCTCTCTAAAAAAACAACCTTAAGAAGGCACAATTGATTGGAGAAAAAGATCATATACTTTATGTAATATAAATTAACACACACAAATCAGTGTAATTCACAAAGACCGGTTTGCCTACCTTGTGATTGACAGTGGACTGCAGTGGGTGGATCTCAAAGCTGCTAGATGGCTGTGTAGTAGCTATGGGGTATTCCCACTGCCATCTGTATTAAAGTGGTTCTAAAGGCTGAAGGTTTTCTACCTTCAGCCTTTAGAACCTTAAGCCCTGGTTCACACTGATGTGATGTGGAATTCTCCGCATTTTCAGTGTGAATTCCGCACTGCATCACAATCGCACCCCGTTCAGACGATACCAATGCGGGTGTGTATGTTAACAAAACCCTGACATCGGTGCGCAAAACACGGTGTGATGTGAAGAAATCAGATCACAAAAGGTATTTACACATATGCCATCTGATTTTAGTGCAGACCAAAAAAAAAACGGTCCTGCGCGTTTTTGGTGCGGGTGTGGTGCGATTAGAGCCCTACAAAATGTATGGCTCTTATCGCACTGCATACAAATTGCATGTGATTTGTACAGGAATGTGGTGTGGTTCCTGTGTGAATCACATGGGATTTACAGCACCGCAGTAGTGTGAACCTAGGCTCAGTCTGCAGCTTCCCCCCCTCAGCTCCCCTTCCCTAATATTTACCTGAACCTGATCTCAATCCAGTATTGTGCAAAAAAAAAAAAAAAACATTGACTTTCCCAGGTCGCTTCTTTCTCATTGGCTCAGACACAGCAGCGAGAGCCAATGGCTCCTGCTGCTGTCAATTACAACCAGAGAGGAGGGGGGCAGGGAGCTGAGCCACGCTCTGTTTATCTCATGGACACACAGGGCCGACCGTGGCTCCTTCCCCCTTTGAGTACCCCCCCCCCCCCTCCCTAGCAAGCCTTGTACTTGAAGGTGGGAGTAGCAAGAATAGTAGGCAGGGGACCCGCGGAGGATCGGGGATGCTCTGTGCAAAACCATTGCCCAGAGCAGGTAAGTACAACATGTTTTTTTTTTTCATTTAATCTGTACCTTTACAATAATTTTAATTACATGGAAGGTGGACCTGAACTAGTTTCTCGGTATCCCTATCAGGTTGTGCCCACTATGCTAGATCAGCCTTGCATCATTAGTTGCTAGGACAGTGGTGGACTCTGGACCGTCTATGTATGCCAATTTAGAATTTGTCTTGATTACCTCCAGTTTTGTTATCCATGAACTGATGGTAAATCTTTTTGACATTTTCACAGCCATAGCAACGGCAAATAAGAGCTACCTAAATCTGTGGTAGGTATCGGACATGTTAACAAAATGTTTGCCAGGCTTTCATAAATTAGCTGGCACTTTCTCATAGGCTAATACCACCAGAAAAGGATTACAAACACTTGATTAAAATTGCCCCATTATGTACGATCATTTTCATTTGGCCTTTCTTAACATCTGGAAGGTTTTACCCCCTTCATCACCTGGCCATTTTTTTGCTATTCGCATTGTGCTAATTTAACTGGCAATTGCTTTGCCAAGCAAAACTGTGCCCAAATGAAATTTAGATCTTTTTTTTTTTCACACAAATAGAGCTTTCTTTTGGTGGTATTTGATCACCACTCTTTTTTATTATATAAATGCAAAAAGACAAATTTTTTAAAGAAAAATGATAACTTCTGCTATCCATTATAAAACATATCCTATGTAAATAATAATAATAAAATCAAGTTTATTTATAAATTCAGACAAAATGTATTCCGCTACAAGTCTTTGATAAAAAAAATCCCAATAAGCGTATATTATTTGGTTCGTGTGAAAGTCAGTGTCTACAATTTATGGTATATATACTGGAATTTACGCAGCTATAGATGCTTATACTAGTAATGATGATGATCAGCAACCTATAGTGGGACTGTACACTGTACGAATGACACTGGCTGGGAAGGGGCTAACATCAAGAAGCAATCAGGGGATTAACTGTGTGCCTAACAAGTGTAACGTGTGTAATGTGCGCTGCTTTTACTAAGAGATCTTCATGCTTTGCAGGGAGAAAAAACAGCCAGTTCACGAATCTATGTACAGAGCCCTCTGTGTTTGTAAACACAGGACTCTGTGCTGTGATTGGCTAAAGCCTATCAGCAGGTCCAGGGCCAAGATCACCTGCTCACAAAATCCTGCTGTAGCCAGTGACAGCACGAGTCAGCAGGGGTTGTGCATCCTGACCCCAGAAGAAGCTGGATCACGAACATGATTCAGCCTGGCTGTACCAGCTGTCCACAGTAAATGAACTGTGGGCAGGTGGCAAGCAGTTAAACATTCTATTGTGTATTGTAGTATTTAATTTGCATAGACATTTACTGTATATGTAGTCTTAATTCTGTGACATAACAGCTTAAAATAAATCGGTCCCCGTTTAGATTAAATAAAAAAGTGTTCTCTAAGACAACAAACCTTTTGTCCAGAGAAAGACTCTTTGCTGCCCTGATGAGATTGCTTTCACTCTGTTATGGAGATCTACACACGTGCTCCTAACCCCTACCCACTTGCATGTTCCCTGTCCACGGACATTGTCTCATTGGTTGGCTTTATCACATAAGAGGATCTAGGCACCAAGTCAAGTCAAACCTCCATAGCAATACACGGCATAAAGGGGCTTTTCCATGCAAGAGGTAATAGAAGGTACTACATTTAGTATCAGAGACAGAATAGAGGGTTCACTTTATGTCATTACAAATTTTAAGTTAGAAGCATAACAAATATTAACACTGACCTTTCGTCTTTCATCATCTGGATACGTCCAGTAAGAAATGCAATAACCTGAGAGAACGCACCAACGCCGATGCCAAGCTCCAAAGCCACTTACATCTTCAAACATAGTCTGAAATTAGGATAATACTCATGAGGAAATAAAGCAGACACATTACTTGTATGTAGATACAGAAATATTCATTACAATGCAAACCTCTTTTTCCTGCTAAATGATCTGTCAAAACACATATAAAAGTTGTCTCTAAAGACATGCATCTCAACTGCGACTGCCAGACATATCTGCTCACTGAATGACCGTGCCGATATGTATACAGTCACTTCTTAAAGCTGATTAGACTTCTCTTTTACACTTGAACAAAGGTCTTCTTTTGCTCTACTTACACTGAAGTAAAAAGGATCATATTAATATACAATTTTAATGAATTTGCACAAACTTTCTGCTGCTGTTAAAAAGTGATTTCAAGCTTCAGTACACACTACCCATGTATGCAACACCTGGACCATTGTTCAGCTATTTACTCTGTACTAGCAAGGTCAAACCAACCTTACATAAAATCCTGCTTACTGAATTACCATTATATAACAGAAAAGCTGGATATCAATGGAACTCTCAACGCTGGCAAGATGTTTAAGGGAGGGTGCTTATAGAAATGGCTTCATACAGAAATGGCCAAAATGCTTGGGGGCCAAATTTTCCTAAAACAAAGCCATTTAATATTATTGGCGTGGGTGGGTTTCAAACAATTTCTTGATCAATTGTATTGTCAACTTTTTGTGACCTCAAACAGCACTTACAGTGGTGCTCTAAGCAAGGGGAGATCCGATCCATTTGATCCTCAGAGATGAGGGTGCCGGCATGTAAATTCACTTATCCACTAGAGTCAGAGCCTTGTGTTTAAAGAACACTGCACTCCCAACCCCGACCTGAGTGTGTGTGTCAAAAAAAGGACAGCTTCAGACAGCTCTCCTCCACAGACCATGCCTCAGACACGTTTTGCCCCAGCCATTGGGGCTTAGTCACCCCTGACTAAGCCCTGGCGGGTAGGGTGAAACGCATCAAGGGTCATCGTCTGTGGAAGAGAGCTGTCTGAGGCCGTCCCATATTGACACACAGACACTTCAGTCAGGTAAGGAGTGCGGCGTTCTTTAAACACAAGATCTGTATTGGTAACCCTGTCAGAACTTGACCAAGTGGACATATTCTGTTGGGTATTAAAGACTAATTTTTTTCCTTTTGGATTGGCCAGACCAGACTACATTTTTTTTTTCTAGTGAGCTAGTTACCCGATTGTCTAATTGGACTCTAGAGGCTATAGCCCTTCGTACTCATTTATTTCTCTCAGGTTTCTTACTGGTTTATTATATTGCTCATGTATTGAAGTTGACTGGTATTGCAGGTCATTATTATCCATAGGAACCTATTTTCCTGTTATAGGAGTGTTGGGGGACAGGACATTCTATCTAGCTGGGTCTGGGGGGCGGGGGGCAATAGTGGGCAGGTGTCTTGCCTCAGCTCCCTTCTTCCCTCCTTCAGGGGGAGGTTGGTTGGGTGGGGTTGGGGAGATCACTGTGGGAGGAGCATTGGGGTACCTTGGGAGGTGCTCTTGGGGATGTTTTGAGGGGCTGGGGGGATTGTTGAGGGGTGGCTAGGGTTCTTGGGTTGGTGGTGGGTTGGGTCCCCATTGTGGAGGTGCAGGTACTATGGGCACACAGGGGACATTGAGTGTCTGTTATGGGAGGTTCCCGCCATGCCAGGGGTGGGGGGCCTTCACGATTGGGAATGATCAGCAGGTCCCCGATGCACTGTGTCTTTACCTTGTATGTTTTTTTTTTTTTTACTTAAAAAAAAAAAAACATGTTTTTGAGGTTAGCCTTTTAGGTGTGTAGCCTATTTTCTTTTTTCCTTGGTTTTTGTATCATATGCTTCAGCTATCAGCCTTCCAGATTGTTCTGGAGGCACCTCACATGGTCTTTAAATTCTAGTTGATTCCCCATCTTCTCCCTGTCCCACCCCCCACCCCCTTTTTTCCCCTTCTTTTTATAATATATGACTTTTGTTGATGTACGGCATTGGTCTACTTGATGGTTCCCTAATGTAGGTGACTTATGTTAATGTATTGAATTGGTCTACCTGAAATTTTTTCATAAAACATGGTAAACCCTAATCTTTAGGAAATTAGTGGAATGTATGGGGAGATAATATTGATGTTGGCTTATATGGATGATATATACTTGGATATTGAGACACTATATTTATATTTTTTACAACAGAACTTGGCAAACTCTTAAAAACAGGCAGAGTTTCTTGTGAGACAATTTTGTGCCTGCCTACATCTGTGGATCAAATATCCATGAGAATATACAGGATTAAAAAAATTATTTTGGTGGGTGCTGTATAAGACCCATTAGGTATATCTTTTCCATCAGTTTGTACGTTTCTTCCTATAGTATGCACCAATAGGCTTTTATGTTCTCCCATCTTCTTGCCGCTATCTAGGTGGCCTCAGTACTCAGCCAAGGGGGCACACAGGTGACCTGTAACCACCCAAATGCTTATCAGGGAGTGGTAGTAATCCATTTTGGTTTTATGTTATGGCTGACTGTCATTTCGATTAGACTCATCGGTTATGTGAGTAATTAATACTTATACTGTATGTACATAGATAAGATATGTTCATATATGTCCAAATTACACTGTATAGGTCTTAAATGTATTTTTTTTTTATTATTTCTTGGATGTTGCCATCCTTCTGCAGAGTTTTTTCCCGAGGAAGGAGTTAATTTACTCTGAAACGCGTTGAATTTGCATAATAGACTCTAATCTGTCAACATGCTATTCTAAATGACTAACCTTTTCTAGTGTGATACAAAATAAAGATCGATGTGAACATTTTAACTTATGTATTAGTGCCTTTAAAGTCCCAGTGGGGAGTTTTTCTCTGTTTATGCTATCAAAGTATAATAATCACCAGCTGGCATCTGTGTTTGTCTATGTCATCCTTCATTGTGGCCATGAATGTTGGTAAAAGAACGAAGTGTACACTGTACACATGCATGCGTGCATAAACCAAAATTTTACTAGAGATGCAGATCTGCATCTCAAGGCAGGAACACCCATCTCACTGTGTACATCAACTTTTAAAATCGGACATTAATAAAGAGTCTTAAAATAACTAAATTTTCAGAGGGTGCTAACAGAAGGGGAAAAAAGTCTCCTCTGAAGAAGGGTCATGTGTATACAGATTTTCCTTAAAGCTATATCTGTTACTACAGACCCCATCTGTTAAATCAGAATTGTTTGTTGCGTGAACTGCTTTTCAGTGCCAACTAAAACAAACTATGCCAAAGTGACAGATTTCCATGGAAATTATTTGAAGAATAGATAAGTTACGTTAAAGTCATTTTAAAGGGATTAGGTATGATTTGAACATTGCAAACATCAAATGAGCTGCCAGTGTTTGTTTTGGCTTAGTGAGCCGCAAACGCAATGTATCCTAAATTTAAAATGAATATGCTTCAGTTCCACTGATCAGCGCAAAAGACAAAAGTGCATACTTATCTAAACAAACCATCAAGCCAATGCAGAAAAGATTTATGTATGAACACCTTTTTACTTTTTCCCCCTCTGTTTTCACCTAGTGATCTGGTCAGCAGCACACCTCCTGTATTAGCATGTCCCCACTCTGGATGAAGGAGCACAGGGGCACCTTTGGACAATAGCATTGTCAGTCTGGGGAGAGGGGGTGTTAGTGGTACTAGCAGATTTAGATATACTAACAAACTGAAGCCAAACTCCAGCTCACACTTTTTAAGCAGTTACAGCAAACAGCTTTTTCCTTTTGGGATAAAGGTTTTATGTAAATAAAAGCAGTCTCATCCCTGTAACTGCTACATCTGCAGGAGAGCTTGTAATTTTGACAGACTTGCTGGCAATATCACCAGGTGAAAATAAGAGAAAGCAAGCCTGAAAAGAAAATGAATGCAGCCATCACATCTAAGACGTGGTAAGCTGCAATACGTTAAATATTTGTTTTGGGGTTTAACAGCTTAGACCAGCAGATTGTCAGCAATATAACCCATGAGTGCTTTAATAAGAAACTAGCTACATATGGCGTTATTGTAAAGTTAGATACTAGACACGCTTTATATGGAGTTTGTTACAAAAATGCTATGTATAGCCAAAAAATTTCTTCTAGTTTGGGACAGAGTAGAAATCCTTGCAAAATTGTATTCAGTTTGTGTCTATTAGATTACCCTCTCTATTTATTTTTCTGACCACTGTCACCGAGACACAGTGATAGTAAATACAAAATGACATAGTAATGACTAAAACAAAAAGTAATGGTAAATCTTCAAGGATGTTATTTCTGGTGATGAATGTTTAAGGGGGAATTACTCTCACTTTGTAGACATTTAGGGGTTTATTTACTAAAGCTGGAGAGTCCAAAATCAGACTCCCTTCTGCATAGAAACCAATCAGCTTCTAACCTCAGCTTGTTCAATGAAGCTTTGGCAATGAAACCTGGAAGCTGATTGGTTTCTATGCAGAAGTGAGTCTGATTTTGCACTCTCCAGCTTTAGTAAATAAACCCCTTACTGTCTTTTTTGGTGGATTCTCAGAGGAGTGAAGGGGAATCTTCCTGCTGCTGTTATACAAATGGTGCGCACGCACTTTATATTTCTACTGAATATCTTTCAGATCCCCATCCAAATACTAAAAACCTTCACTTACATAATCTATAACCTTGTTACTCTATACTTCTTTTTATATCTCAAAGGTGTGACTACCTTGCCTATTACCGTCTGAATATCATAACTATATCACAATGTATTCTGCAATATTATGCTGAAGCCATTTAAAGCTGGCCATACATTATACAATTTTCTTGCTCAATTTCCTTTAGTTCAAAATGTAATGGAAGGGCCTGCCTAATTGGATACAAATCAAAAGTGTTTAGATTTAACCTCATACTATATGGTTTTGGTAAATCTAAAATTTACCAAAAAATTGTATAATGTAAAAAAAAAAAAACCCAGCTGAACAACTCTTTAAAGCAGAGTTCCAGCTGAAAAAAAAAAAAAAAAAAAAAAAGTCAGCAGCCACAAAAACTGTAGCTGCTGACTTTTAAAATATAGACACTTACCTGTTCCTTGGTCCAGCGGTGTCCTCACCACGGCTGATTTCACCGGCCGTCTTCTCTCCCCAGCGCCTTCACTGTGGGCACCCGGTTATGACAGCTTGCAGACAACTTCCGCTTCCTATTGTCTAGGCGATCGCAGCGGAAGTGGGAGCGGGTACCTGTCAAATTCGGGTACACACTCCCAAGAGGTGCCAATCCTTAATGGGGAGCGGGGGACAAAGGCTTAAAGCAGAACGTCCCATTCTGGGTGGAGCTCCGCTTTAAATGCGTTATGTGCAGGTTTACCATATTATTTTGTTTAAAAGAAAAAAAAAAAAAAAAAAACAACAACAAAAAACTTTTCATAAATTACAAATTACACACACACACACACACACACACACACCCCCTCAGTATAAATGAGTGCACCCCAACAGATTTGTCAGAAAACCTTTACGTTCCTTTCAGAATCCACTTTATATGGGACACTATACTGCAAAATACTCCCACAAATGCGGGCCATTGATTGCACACAAGATTTGTTAATTTGCACACACAAAAAGTATTTTACCTAACAAATTCATTCAAAACCATGTTGCAAAAATGAATACACTCCAATGAAAGTCTTAGGAGCAAAGCTAAATTTTAGACAACAAAATCCTAACTAACAAGAATTCAACTACAGTTGAATCTAATTAATCATTAAACAGGTGTCCAGCAGACAGCTGATTATAAAAGGGCATTACTTAATAAAGAAAACCCCTTCCCATTTCATGCTGTTCGGAAAGGCACCAAATGGAAGAGAAATGTCACAAGGCCTGAGAAAGAAAATAATTTCTTTACACAAGAAAGGTGAAGACTAAAAGAAGATCAGCAAAGCTTTACTTATCAGTCAAAATACTGTCGCAAAAGTGATACAAAAGTTTTCCAAAGATGGAATTGCGACCATCTCACAGAAACATTCAAGCTATCCATGGAAGTTAACATCTCAACAGGAGCATCTTCTGATGAGAAGGGTTGAAGAAATTCGCCATGCAAGTTCACTGCAGTTAGCTAAAGAAGTAGAAAGCCAAAACTGGGGTGATTGTTTCCTGTGACACAATACAGCGTACACTGCAGAGGAATGGCATGCATGGGTGTCATTCACGAAGGCAGCCTCTCCTAAAGCCCGTGCACAAAAAAGCCCACCTAGAATTTGCCAGGGCCCATGCTGAAAAAGAAGACTACTTCGACTCTGTACTCTGGAGTGATAAGACCAAGATAAATGTTTTTGGAACTGACGTCTTCAAAACTTTATGGCTTCGCAAAGGTGAGGAGTACAAAGAAAAATGCATGGTGCCTGCAGTGAAACATGGTGGTGGCAGTGTCCTTCTGTGGGGCTGCATTAGTGCTGCTGGTGTCAGGGAGCTGCATTTCATTGATGGTATCATGAATTCACAGATGTATTGCTCTATACTGAAAGAGAAGATGCTACCATCACCCTTAGTCGTCGTGCACTTTTCCAACATGACAATGATCCAAAACACACATCTAAGGCCACTGTTGCATTTCAGAAGAACAGGGTGAAAGAGATTCAGTGGCAAAGTATGTCTCCTGATCTGAACCCAATCGAACACCTATGGGAAATTCTGAAGAGAATCACTCTCCATCCAGCATCCAGGCTCAAAAAGTGGTAGTTCTTGAAGAATGGGAAATAAAAAAAAAAATATCGATGTTGCAATACGTCGCCAACTTGTTCATTCCATGCCTAGAAGACTTGGTGCTGTCCTTACAAATCATGGAGGTCATACAAAATACTAGATGGAGTAGTTTTTGTTGTGGGGTGTATTCATTTTTGCATCAACTAATTTGAGTAAAACTGAAGATTTTGTAATCTAAGTTATATTATAACCTTAATTTCATGTAATGCGCTAAACAAATGTTCTACAAAACTCAGTTTTGTCAAAATTTTGGAGATTGTTCTTGTGTTCATTAAGATATTGATTAAAATCTTACTTTTCAAAAGGGGTGTACTCCTTTATGCTGAGTACAGTACACACAGACACATGGAGAGGACTCACCAGAAAGCCCTTTTCTTCAGCAAAAGAATTGACTTGGCACTTGAGTTTTAGACAGACATGACCTTCTAAAGGAGACAAGAATGGAACCTAGAAGACCAGAAAATATGAATTATTATTTATGTCATGTGTAATAAAACAAAGCCTTGGCATGTCATTCATTGCAGTTGTTTCTGACAGAAGACACTGCCTGACAAGTGAATTTGTCAAGTTCTAGCCACTGTCCTACCAATCCTGTGGGACACCGATGGTCATCCCTGCTCTGTAAGCCATAGATAATGACTTACCAAAGCATTCTACTTCTCCTTACAAGAGCATTAGGTCTCTGCTAGCAAAACAAATACAGGCATATACCACATACTGAACAGTCCAAACATGAAGAGCTCACATTGTAATCATACATTTTAATATATCCTCTAGTAACTGCTCTCAAGCCTATAACCAAGAAAATGAAACGAAAAAGGTGAAAAGAAATAATAAATCTTGTTACCTTGTCCAAGAGAAATTTGTTGCAACCAATTGAGGACAGTGAGAGCTTGTGAGATCCAACAAGGACAAAGTTGCTGGTGCGGACAGCATTGGGACCTCCCGGACTAGCCAAGGCTGTGGAGGGTAAGAAGTGAATTGTATTCAAGTGAGCCAAATATAACTTTATAATTTTCAGTACATTTGCCATAATTTCTTTTTAAGATATTTATTGATTTGCAAAATTACACAGGTACAAAATACAAAAAAATATAGCTTTGACAGAGTCTGTGTCCTGCACAGCTTAAAAGTGATTGCAAAGGCAATAACTGTATTTAAAAAAATAAATAAAAACATGAAACCTGTTATACTTGTCTGCTCTGTGCATTGGTTTTGCAGACACTTAAGAGATACCCCGCCCCCAGCCCCTACCCCCTGCTGAGTGCCCTCATAGCAAGATGCTTGCTCCTGAGTAAGCTCTATGGAGTTTATTTACTAAAGCTGGAGAGTGCAATATCAGGCTCACTTCTGCATAGAAACCAATCAGCTTCTAACTTCAGCTTGTTCAATTAATCACCTCCCGCCCACCATATAGTCCAATGACGGGCGCAAGGCGGTTCTCTCGTTCTGGGAGGACGTCACATGACGTCCTCCCATTCTCACCGCGCATGCATGGCTCCAGGAGCGCGCGGCGATCGGCGGAGAGAAATGCCGGCATTTCCCTGTTTACATGTGATCAGCTGTGATTGGACACAGCTGATCACATGACCGAGCCGATGTCTTCGGCTCTTTCCGCGGATCGGTGATCCGCTGTGTCCGAGGGACACAGCGGATCACCGATCCGCGGAAAGAGCCGAAGACATCGGCTCGGTCATGTGATCAGCTGCGTCCAATCACAGCTGATCACATGTAAACAGGGAAATGCCGGCATTTCTCTCCTCTCGAGCTGTCCTGCTGACCGCTCGAAAGGAGAGGAGAGGCGGAAACCGGCATTCCGTGGAGGGGACATGTACACTGATCATCAGGGCACTCATGATCAGTGTGCCCTGATGATCAGTGTGGCCCCAGCTGTCAGTGCTGAACAGTGCCCATCAGTGCCACATCAATGCCACATATCAGTGCCCATCAGAGCTGCCTTTCAGTGCCGCCTAACAGTGCCAGTCAGTGCCGCCTAACAGTGCCAGTCAGTGCCGCCTAACAGTGCCAGTCAGTGCCGCCTAACAGTGCCACCTATCAGTGCAATAAATCAGTGCTGCCTTTCAGTGCCCATCAGTGATGCCTGTCAATGCCCATCAGTGTCACCTCATCAGTGCCACCTATCAGTGTCCATCAGTGCAGCCTATCAGTGCCCATCACTGCAGCCTCATTAGCGCACATGAGTGAAAAGGAGAAAAATCACTTATTTAGAAAATTTTATAACAAAAACTAAGAAAAAAAAAATTTTTCTTTCAAAATTTTTAGTGGTTTTTGGTTTAAGAAAAAAAAAAAAACCCAGAGGTGAATAAATACCACCAAAATAAAGCTCTGTCACAAAAAAATGATAAAAATTTCATATGGGTAGAGTGTTGCATGACCGCGCATTTGTCACTCAAAGTGTGACAGCGCTGAAAGCTGGAAATTGGCCTGGGCAGGAAGGGGGTATAAGTGCCCTGTAAGCTAGCGGTTAAGCTTTGGCAACAAAATCTGTTAGTAGAAGCCTGAATTTGCACTCTACAGCTTTAGTAAATAAACCCCTAGTAAATAGCTATTTGGACCCCCATCCCCTTAGTGGAATATGTAAGCTGCTAAAGCAGTAGGTCTGTCTTAATCATTTCCACTCTGAAATTGTTGGCGGAAAAGACCTCTTCCAGGTAATTAAAATCATCTTTTTGGCATAAAAGTAGAATATATGCAGCAGTTTCTTTATACCAACCAGGAGGTCCTCCACCATTCCCACCAGACAAATCTTGGGACACTTAATCTGCCACCATTTCTACCATATTCATACCATATTTTGCTTCTTATAGTTAAGCCCAAAAAAACTGTTCTATTTAAATACTATTTATACCTTTCTAAAGAAAAGACTCCAAAAACCGTCAAACTGCTAATGATTGTCATGATAGCGAAAGCAGAACTTCACTCTGTCAATCAGCATTGAATATTTTTAATCCTATACTATGCTAGTAATGGAGGTGTTTTTCAAAATTATTTATCAACAAAATAAAAGCTTGGAGGCATAGATGGGATGTGCGAGTTTGCTTTGAATGGTAAAAATTAATTAAATAGCGTTTTTGTTTGTGATGCTCATAATGCAGTGTAGTTCCCCTTAACACATTTTAATAGTAACTTAACAGATTTAAAGTAACCCTGTCAGTTGCCTCCATCAGACTATGTAGTATCTGACACTTCGGGAGCCTATGCAACCCCAGAACATTCTCTGGGTTCCATCCTCCAACTTATCGCTGCTGTATCCTTCTGAAGAATCTGATGGAGACGGCAGCATTGGGACAGAGACACGGGAAGCTTTTCTACAGTTGGGAAATTTCTTTTGGATTGTTTTTTCATGCAACTGACTGGGTATCTTAACCACTTGCCTACAGGGCACTTATACCCCCTTCCTGCCCAGGCCAATTTTCAGCACTTTTGAATGCCAATTGCGCAGTCATGCAACACTGTACGAACATAAAATTTTTATACTTTTTTTTTCACACAAATAGAGCTTTCTTGTGGTGGCACCACTGGGGGTTTTATTTTTTGTGCTATTAAAAAAAAAAGAAAAAAAAAAAAAAAAAAAGAACAAGAGCAAATAAATGTGAAAAAAAAAAGTTTCTTTGTTTTTATTGTAAAATTTTGCATACAGGTAATTTTTCTCCTTCACTGATGATGCGTTGATGAGGCGGCACTGATGAGGTGGCATGGATAGCAAGCACTGATGCAGCACTGCTGGGCAGCAATGATGTGTGGCAATACCCTGATGATTAGTGCTGATCACTTCTCTGACAATTGCCGGTTATCAGCAGTACTTCCCTCACGCTGTGACAGCCTGATGAAAGTGCAGCCAATAACCGGCAACTGTATTTACCTGGTGATCTGCTGTGCCATTGGACACAGCGTGGCGATCGGTGGTGCGCTGTGTCCCTGGGTCACAGCGGATCACCAATCAAGGGAAAGAGCCAATGACGTTGGTTCTGTCATGTGATCAGCTTAGTCCAATCACAGCTGATCACATGTAAATAAGGAAATGCTGGCATTCCTCTCCTCACAAGCTGTTATGCTGACAGCTCGTGAGGACAGGAGAGACTGTAATCGGCATTTCTCAGAGGGGACATGTACACTGATCATCGGGGCACTGATGATCAGTGTGCCCTGATGATCAGTGTAGTCCCATCAGTGCCACCTGTCAGTGCCCATCAACGCCACATATCAGTGCCTACTAGTGTACATCAATGCCACATATCCGTGCACATCTGAGCTTCCTTTCAGTGCCACCTATCAGTGCCAGTCAGTGCCATATATGAGTGCTGCTTTTCAGTGCCCATCAGTGCCGCCTATCAGCGCAGCCTCATTAGGGCACATCAGTGAAGGAGAAAAATCACTTATTTACAACACTAAGAAAAACTTTTTTTTTTTTTTTTTTTTTTTAAAATATTCAGTTTTTGGTTTGTTTAGCAAAAAATCAAAAACCCAGAGTGATTAAATACCACCAAAAGAAAGCTCTGTCTCAAAACAAATGACAAAAATTTCACATGAGTACAATGTTGCATGACCGCGCAATTGTCATTCAAAATGTGACAGCACTGAAAGCTGGAAATTGGCCTGGGCAGGAAGGGGGTATAAGTGCCCGGTAGGCTAGTGGTTAAAAAGCCAACCAATTTTTTTTTGTTCACACCATGGTGAAGATACGTCAGTTTTTCAGCACGCGTTCTGCAAGTGCACAGCTAAATCAATTGCTCTTGGGGCACAGTTCACACCACAACACTGGTATCACGTGTAGATTTTTTTCTGCGCAGGAATCAGAAATCATTGAAGCACACATGAAAATGAATGTAAACTGATGTCTCTGCATATGAAATCTGCACATAAGTTTCCATCAGTTTTTCTGCACATATGGTGTAAACGAAGCCTCAGTCTATAACGTTCAATAACAGTGAAAATAGTTTTTTTCCCAAAGTCCAGCTAGAGGTTTCAACATTAAATGGTTTTGCACTAAAATTAAAGCTTAAGCTGGAGAGCTTAAGGAGTGCATATCATAACAAACTCACCTGGTGTATGAATGTTGCTTTTCTAAAACGAAAGAAAAATAAAAGTTAACTAAAGTAAAGTCAACTAAATACTCAAGAGCCAAAACTTGCTCTAACTAATAGAAAAAAAAAAAATGTATGTATTTACATTTTACGCATTCACATTTAAATCTACTTTCAAAATCCAAACAAAGTTTTATTTGTAATTTTATGCTATTTATCGAAATGATAGATATGGAAAAAGACTTGTGTAGTGCTAGGAAGCTTATTACCCCAAACATAGAACATACATATATATTTATTTATTATAGTAAACACTACATGCAACACGAACAATTAATACATAGTTAAAAAAGTTTGCTTTTGTTCCCCTAAGACAGTGGTCGGCAAGCCGCGGCTCGCGAGCCACATGCGGCTCTTTACAAACTTAAATGCGGCTCTTCTGTGTGCCGGGCGCCCGCTCCCCTCCCTCCTCTCGGGCGGCCGCCCCAAAAGTCAGGACTCTGCAGCTGTCAGGATGTAGGCGGGGCAGCCAGGATGTAGGCGGGGCAGCGTGACGAACTCCTCTCCTCTCACAGTCCGCCCTGAAGACCAGAACGGCGCGGGAACACAGCGAGAGGAACGTGCGGAGCAAAGGTAAGTGAATTGACACGGGGGGGACTTGGCTTACTACTTGCTACTTACTTACTACTACTATATGGGGGATGAATTAATATGGGGATGAATTACTATGGGGGATGAATTACTATAGGGGGGATGAATTACTATAGGGGGGATGAATTACTATATGGGGGATGAATTACTATATGGGGGATGAATTACTATATGGGGGATGAATTAATATGGGGGATGAATTAATATGGGGGATGAATTAATATATGGGGGATGTATTTTCAGTTTTAAAAATGTGGCTCTCAAAATAAATTTCAATCGTGGTTTTGGCGAGATTTGGCTCAGTTGAAAAAAAAGGTTGCCCACCACTGCCCTAAGACATGGCTAGCACCTTGAGATTTGCCAAGTGTTCAAACATGCCAATTCCATTGAGACAAACCTTAATGCTTTAGGACTATGGATAGCTTGAAGCTAACCCACCAAACATTTCCATAGGTACATTTATGGTCAATAAAAAAGGATTCTACTTCTCTGACTGAAGCTGGCCCTGCCATCTGTCAAAATACCTGAGCAGTGGCTGCATCTGATTGGATGAAACTGCTGTTCTGCTGACTATTTTCCACCCAACTCCTTTGACTTTTCATATGAGGGATGTTGGGCAGGAGATGGCCAACAGGCAGCCCACCAATCAAATTTCAGGTGGTTTGTCAAAAATTCAAACAGTGTATGCACAGCATAAGGCCTACCAACACACACCATAGCCCTGTCAAATGAAACGGGACCGCGGGGATGAGTGGGTGAGCCTTACCTCCAAAACCGGAGAACACAGAGTTCATAATGAAGTGAAACTAGTTTTAGAAGAGACCATGAAAGGAGGATTTTCTAACTACTGTAAAAAAAAATTATAACTGGGCGCTTTATGATGCCTATCCTTGGACAGTACTTCTGCTGTGAATGCCTTGGCTAAGAGGAGGCCAATTAACGTTTTAGCCCTGGTTCACAGCAGTGCGACTTGACATTTCCAAATCCAATAACAAGTCACATCCCATTGCTGGCAATGGAACCATTCATATCGCAACAAACTCGTGGCGCAGCGATTTTGAAAAAGGTTCCTGAAATACATTTTGCCGATTTCATTGCGACTTGCATAGATTTCTGTTATATGAAGACGCAAGCCCCAATGAAATCATCAGTCCAAAAAAATAAATAAATAATCGCACTGATATGTGGCTTTGAAATCGGACTGAAGTAGAGCGATTTCAAAGCTGCACCAGTATAAATCGAGGCTTACACACAATTCATCAACTTTCAAAACAGAAGCTGAAATTTGTATGAAGTCTGAATTGGTATCTGCAATCAGCTATGCTGAGATGTAGGAGCTGCATTTTAAGCTCTGGCTGCTGGTTTTACTCTAGTACCCTTCAAATATAACATTTAAAAAATTATATCTATATCTCACCTCTAAACAAAACAGCAGCAGGATGGAGGGAGGAGCTGCTACATAAAAGCAGAAGTGTGTTGGGGGATTGGAAGCCCTTTACCAATAGGTGTATTAAAGTGGTTGTAAAACCCTACATATACCCAAGGAAATGACTAGTCTCATGTGATACACAGTGATTAATCAAATACTCCTACATAAGTTGTCACGGTGTCTGCAGTGCAGTCTTCTATTCTCTACAGCCAAAGTACTGAATTTGCACAAATTGTCTGAGCTTCTAAAGGCAAGGGGGGAGCTGACGTTATACACTCAGTAAAAAGAGTTGTGAAAGCTGATTGCAGGGAAGGGACACCCCCTCCTTCACACAGCACACATGAACAGAGTTATGGCTGTCAATTATGGGCTGTGTGCTTGAGATACCTCCTTGTCACCTTTTTACCTCTTGGTGTCAGGAAAATCTTTTAGAAGTGACTCATACAGATAGTAGAGGAACTAGGCAGTAGAGTAAAATGACACTTTGTGCTCTGGACTAAGACAAGTACACACTATAGGTGTATATTTTGCTCATATTTCATGTCAGAAGTTTACAACCAGTTTAACGGTCCATTTAAAGCTGAACTTTAGGTTTGATTTTTATTGCATATTCACATTGGTCAGTTTGGATTAAAAAGGTAAGTATGCATATTTCATAACTTAATCCGATGTGGAAGATACAAATCACTAGCATTAGTCAATGCTACTACAGTGATAGCAGTGATATTCCAGGTCCTACACCAAGCGGGTTCACTTCTTCTGCATAGTAACCACAGATGATCCCTCGATCAGCACTGCCGCATTTCACAGAATGCCTTTCATTATTTTAAATAAATACAAGGGGTTCCCAAATTGGACAATTTGAAGATCTTGACATCACCATCCTGCCTCTCCCCCCCCTTGTCCAAGCAGAGAATACCTTGCATTCATTAAAAAAAAAAAAAAAAATTACAAGGCATTCTGTGAAAGGGGTCAGTGCCAAGCCAGGGACCCCCTGTGGCTACTATGCCAAAAATCCACTTGGCATAGGACCCAGAAGATTGCTACTATCACTGTAATAGTGGTTACAGTGATGGTCAGCCTCCACAGTGAGGATTCAGGTGTGAGATATGCATACTTACATTGGTCCAAGCTGCACTATTGGAAATATGCAATAAAAACATTACATCCGCTATGAATAAGCCCTTAACAAAATCTAGTTTTACTGATAATAAACTATTAACATATCAGTATACGGGTAAACACAACACTTACTGTGATAGAAGTAAGCAGTCTTTTTGGAGTGATTGCCTAAAATAGCAAACAGAAATAAAATTACATAGTTGTGAAGGAACAGAACTACATTTAAAAAAAACAAAGCACAATCATAAATTGGATGGTGCAAACAAAAGTGACTTGCTATGATGTTTCTGTACCTTAGTCTTTACAGCCTTTTTCCTCTTATCAAGAGCAGCACCCTCTTTTCTTTGTGCCTAAAAACATACAATGCAAAAATATGTATGTAAAAGAAAAAAAAAAAAAAAAAAAAAGATATACATCTACAAACACACACATACTATAATGCAAGCCTATTTAAATAGATAAAAGCACACAAGCGAAGGATTACAACTTACCAAACTGTACACATCAACATAAACGTTGAAATCATTAGAAACATCCTCACTGAAAAAAACAAAACAAAAAAGTTAAACCGTGACTGGATAGAATACTAGACCCTTGTACAGTGAATTCTATTACATAAATTTAATTAAGGACATTTTCATAATTCTAAATCAATTCTAGACTTCCATTATACTTACAGCGTAAAGGTGGTTGGAAACATTAAAGCATCTCCTTTCATTGAACTAGAAATGCTGGCAAGGGGCGTTGCCACCATGTTTTCTGCATCTGCTCGAATGATTATAAAGAAGTAATAGTTTGCTGCATCTGTGGGAACAAAATATCAGAAACCACAATATGCAAGTGCACAGACTATGAACATTAAAGAACTATGGTCTACCATTAAAAAATATATAGATCTATTGCAGCACTTCATTCATTTGCACTCCAGTGTTCTCCTTATCCCATTGCAAAGTCACACATTTACCCAATGAGCCTGTCTGGGAAGTTGACCTAATGCAGCTTCCCGTAATGGGGTGGCAACACTGCTGCACTGTTCCACAAATCAGAGCAGGGTTGCCACTTTCATGAAGGCTGTGTCTGCTTAAGGTACAGAGATGAATAAATTAGCGTCCTCAATGCCTCTAACAGGGTGACACACGTGTGCGCCCTGCCCTAACGTACGCCCACAGTACCCTCTAGCGGCTCTGAACCCGCCGGGTCCTGCAGCTTCACCAGGCACAGTGGTGAACTGCCTCCCACACCACGAGTCTCACAAGCCACCCAAAGACAGAGGGCAGATCATACTGTGCAAGATCTGGACACAGGATCACTTTAATCATAGTAGAAAGAGTGCATCAGTTCCCTTGACCCACCTCACAAACACTCCCAGCTATTCATACCCACAACTGCACACCTAAGCCCCCTTCTAGGCTGTGATCCATTAATGTGGTCAGCAAAATAATCAGTTCTTACCTGGTCTCTGAGATGTACTGCAAATAAAATCAGGCTTGATCGGCAAAAATATCTCAGAAATGGATATAAGGCCTCTGGATGGAGTGCTCTCATGAGCTGAAGGCTGTGGTCTCTTCTGGGGACCTTCACTCTTCAACTTGTTAATCTCACAAAGCAAAGCGGATCTTTTTTTCAGCTAGATAATAGAAATGACACCATATTAATACACACATGGTTAAAGTGGCACTGCAAGCACAAACACCTTAAGGGCCTGTCAGTAAACCACGGAAGTTACTCTCCAGCAGATCTCCATTTTGCTGCAATGATAGGGGTGGTGTAGTGCATGATTCAGGGCATCAACTCTCCCTTTATCTTTTTCCAAATTAACTTTACTTGAAGTGCATAAAAGTGACATTTCATTCATGTCACTTTACAGCAGCACAGTGCATTGCACTGCTATGCAGTGACATGCGTTTCTGTCCAGTGCACTGCAATAAAATGCAACACTTTCAGCTTCCAATCGTCTAGGCAAACGCAGCAGAAGCGGGAGCGGGAACCTGTCAAATTCGGGTACCCACTCCCCAAAAGGTGCCAATCCTTAATGGGGACAAAGCATTAAACCCCTTTTGGGTGGAGCTCCACTTTAACACCACCCCGAAATCGGTCCGCAAAACGCAGTGCGATGTGCAGAATTGGAACGCATAGGTGTGAATACTCATGCGATCTGATTCTAGTGCGGACCCAAAAAAGGGTCCTGCACCTTTTTGGTGCAGATGTGGTGCGATTTGAGCCATACAAAATGTATGGCTCAAATCGCACCGCACACAATTCACATGTGATTTGCACAGGAATGCGATGCGGTTCCTGTGCGAATCACATGCGATGTACCGAACCGCATATATGTGAACCCGGGCTCAGTCACCAGTTCAGTTCAGCAGAGAGGCTGAGACTGAGAGCAGCTCTGCCTTAAGGAAAGAGAGATGAAGGCTCTAAGAAGGCTGAAACCTTTACACTTCTGCTGTATGGAAACATTCCCTGTGTGAAAAATCTTCTGTGAACTCACCTGAATGAACAAAGATGGGTAGGAAGCCCTAAAAACCCTTTAGTGTGGGTTTGTGAAATGACTTGCTAAAAAGCTCTCTCTCTCTGTTGATCATGCTTATCAGGTGATGTTTTCCTAGAAACAGTCTATGACAGCAATGGGCAAACTACGGCCCGCGGGACCTTTTAATCCGGCCCGCGGAGCGTGATACATTGGCTGTCAGTATGTGTGTAGGCAGGGCAGCGTGACGAACTTGAGTGGAGCTAGGCTCCTCTCACAGTCCGCCCTGAAGACCGGAACGGCGCGGGAACACGGCGAGAGGAACGCGCGGAGCAAAGGTAAGTGAATTGACACAGGGGGGACTTGGCTTACTACTTGGGGGGGAATAGTACTATGGGGAATGAATTACTATATGGGGGATGAATTACTATATGGGGGATGAATTACTATATGGGGGATGATTTACTATTGGGGATATATTACTATACTTACTATGGATGACACATACACATCATTCATCTACTCTTTGTCCGGCCCCCGGGTCCAATATATGAACCCATTGCGGCCCTCAAGTCAAAAAGTTTGCCCACCCCTGGTCTATGACATCATAACCTTTGATACTGTACTTCGCGACACGGTAAATAAATTAGCAACTTCAGTCACAGAGGCCCCAGCTAAGCGGGCACCAACAATTTGCCCTTTTTGAAACTCATTAAGTTCTGACATAACTCCATATTACTAGCAGCGCACGCAGTAAATGACAAAAGTGGTGCTTCCCACCTATTAGCTAGGTGTCACATCACACAGCGGAAGCAAAAGACCGTTACATCACTTCCACTTTCAATGCAAAACATGTCGTCACTGTCACACCTGCAAATCATGTCATGTTTCAATATTTCTGTCCAACCCCTCTACATACACGTAACAGATGAGTGAGTGACTCTATACAGACTATTCCATACAGACTTTAAGAGTCAGTCTGAAAGTAAATAGCTACTACTTATTGTTGCTTTAGAAAATCCATAATTCCCCAAGGATACCAGCACTAAGGGTATTTATCTTTATTTGTAAAATAAAAAAAAAAATACAACAAAAAAAAAAATAGAAACAAAAGAGTACAATTAGACCCAAACCACCTTCCCTTAGGAAAACAATGCATGGGCACATGGCATAGATTTTTTTTCTGGAATGAAAAGGTGGCAGTTTCACAAAGTTTAATACAGAACGCCACAAAACAAAAACAAGAATGTAATGGGTACTCACTTGCAAACAGCAGCAAGCGTTCTGCCTCTGCTTCCGTCTGTGTTCCTTTACCATGCTCCTCATCTGTGCAGCAATTAAGAGCCTGGCTGGCCTGGTGAATCACAGTTTGTTGCAAGTTGATTTCATTATTTAATATCTAGGGGGAAAAAAAAAAAAAAAAAAAAAAAAAAAAAAAAAAAAAAAAGGGATGAGATATATGTCTCAAATATGAAAAAAAAAAATAAAGTCTGACACAGAATACTTTACCGAAATATAGCATTAAATTAAACTATAGATATAAAATATCAATACATTATGTGTTTGCATGACTATTTGTGAACCTGTGTTTCTGGGCTTTAATTTCTGTGCTCCTATTCTTATTACAACTATTTTTGGTTTATTTGTCACACAAGTATGGAATATAAAATGGTTTTGAATTTAAAGCAGAACTGCAGGCCAATATACAGTAAGATACCCAAATTTACTTCAGTTATGTTACCAATTAAAAAGCCATAAATATATTGTTGTTACATAGTAACACACTAGGTCTTAAAGGATAGGTTCACCTTTCCCTACATGTTACACCTATATTCAGGGTATAACATGTAACATTACTGTTGCAGCAGCCCCTGCACCCCCCACACCCGTTGTGACAGCGGGCCGGGGATCTTCTCCCCTGTACCTGCTGCTACATTTCTTTGTAAAAATGAGGCTGAACCCATTCCCAGAGTTCCACAGTTTCATTGCAGCTGACGCTTTGTAGTTCTCAATGAACTACCAGGGAGCCGACGAGTGCTCTAGGTAGTTCGTCGATGCTTCCTGTCATTCAGTAACTGCCTGCCTGAGGTTTGGGGCAGACAGATACAATGGACAGTCTGCAGGAACCGTGGATTGCACCTGCGATCTGCTAAACATGGGTGCAATGCATTAAAGGCTCCTAATTTAATAAAAAAGAAAACCTGCACAGAGATGTGCATTTTATTTATTTATTTTTAACAAGGTGAATTTACTTTTTCAATTAGCCTTCTGTTTTTTCCAGTACAGTAGTAGAGGAAGCAGGTCTGCTTCCCTACAGTTTTGCTTTAAAGCTAAAGATACAGCAATTTTTATAGTTACCTTGGTCCAGCTTGAACCAGTGTATGTGCGTGCTATACCTGTGGGATCCCCATGGAAGCAGAAAATCACTATAGTAGGCACCACGTCTTCAGTGATTTCCATTAGCTTCTGGCTGTCCTGCTGCTTACTGAACACAGGTCAGTCGTCATTCAGAGAATGCTGCATTCTCTCAATGAATGCAATGCATGGCACAGGACCCTGTTGACAATCAGTATCGGTGCCTACTACTGTGATTTTCAGCTTCCACAAGGATTGGCCAGGCAAGGAACATGCATGAAATTCAGCTTTAAATATAAAACACAAACAAAACTAACCCCGTCTACAGGGGTAGGTCTGGTAGAAAAAACAAAACAAAACAAAAAAAAAAAAAAAAACCAACCAGGGCCATTTTTAAATTAGTCTACGCCTGCAATTTTTTCAATTTAAATTTCTTGAGAACTTTGCATATTTTAGTAATATGTGAATGGAGCAAGAGCAATACATTATAACCTGTATTTGTATTTTTTTTTCCCAACAACCTTCTTGCTTGCTTTCTGTACAGTCTTTAGCATTGGAACCTAGCGATATATGCAGTCATATGCATTTACAACCAATAACCTGTGCAGCAAGTCTGGCCTGCACTAAATGCAACTGGCTTGGTTGAGATTTTTATAGTTTATTTTTTTTAGAGTAACTGGACTATGTAAGCTGCGCCCATAAAAAGGCAGGCAAATGGAAATAGAATGGTCACCAGTATTGCCTGTGGTCTCCCTGAAGCTGATCATTCCCAGTTATGGACTTAGGTTTCTTTCTTGCCAGCGATTTAGGCCAGTGTGAATTGTAGTAGCAGAAATCTTCTGATTCCTACTGCAGCTCTGAGCGGCTAGGTGCAGTCACTGTCAGACAGTCAGCAATTACATGCAGCAATCGCTGCTGGGCACTCACACACACACCACACACAAAGTGCATGCAGCAGTGATCACCAAAAAAAAAAAAAATCGCTGGCTGTGCAGAGTCACAAATAGCTGCGGTTGCCGGTGCCCTGTCATTATAGCGATTAGGGCCGGTGGCCGAATCAAGCTGTTCACAGCCATGGCAGGAATGATTAGATTCCTGACGCTACAATACGCACCAGCCAAATCATTGGTGTGAATGAAGCCTTACTCTTCCTTGTTCTGCACTATGGTTGTGTAGGCAAGCATCAATGTAGACGCAGGGTTCAGGGTGTAACATGCAACGTTACTAATGCAGCAGCCCTTGCACCCCCCACCCCCATTGTAGAAGCTGGCCAGGGATCTTTTCTCCGTACCTGCTGTTATATTTTTTTTAAAAGCGCGGCCGAAGTCATTAACAGAGTTCCTTTGCAGCTGACGGCTTGTATGAACTATCAGGGAGCTGATGAGTGTTCTAGGTAGTTCATTCATGCTTTCTGTCATTCAGTAACAGCTATGAGGCACCCTCACATACTAGGAGGTGGATTGCTATTTATCAGGAACAACTCCAGACAAAATGTGCTTTATTCGGAGTACTAGGCACAATGAAAATATCTTGATGTTCCCTATGACAATCTTGTTTATAAATATCGTTTACAAGTCTTGGCGCTCCGTTAAATTTAGGACATGCTTTTTGTTGAGTTTTATCCTCATGTTTCTCAAACACCCTACTGAATGTTGAGGATTGTCTCCTTACTGCATGATATAAATCCTGTATAATAATAATAATAATTTCCTAGATTGTAAGCTCCAAGGAGCAGGGCCCTCGAACCCCTCGTGTATTGAATTGTATTGTTACTGTACTGTCTCGTGTATTGTCTCCCATTATAATGTACAGTGCTGAGCAAACTGTTGGCGCTATATAAATACTGTATAATAATAATATGGATGTGGACTTTAGCATTTGTGCGAATATACTTTACACTGGTACTTTGGCTCCATCTACTGGCTGAACTGTGTAAAATATCGATGGTTTAATTTCCAGCACAAATGCTCAATTCATAAAGATGGATGGATTATTTTAATTAAATTCATTATCACATGGCAATTTATCCTAAAACTGAGGAACAATTATGTTTTCACATGAATTGGGCATTTCACGGTTGAAAGCCGCTTCTTCTCAGAAATCCTTCCCCTCCCCCCCTTCCCATCTCAACATCATTTTAATTTATCATTAAAATAATCACTTACAAATGGTTCCATATAAAACACTTTACTCACACTTACAGCTATCACCAACACGATCTATATTTTTTTTTTTCCTTTTTACAAAAGGTTTATAAAGCTAAGCTCCAGTAAGCTACATGAAGCCAGCACCCTGGCAAGGGATGGGTTAATGGACAAGCCATAAGGATTACGCAAATGGCAAAAAAAAAAAAAAATGGGCCTTCATTTAATGTAGAAGTCTCCCAGCAAACCAGTTAGCTTTTCTAATACGAGTAAATAACAATCTTAGATTAAGGACACTGAGAAGCAGAATTGCTGGTGCAGAAGAGAAATTTCAATATGATATTTGGAGGGGGGAAAAAAAAAAAAAAAAAAGACAGTTTGCAGAGTTCTTGTATAACTGAACTACATTATATAGCTGCACCGTTGGAAGATTTTTTTCTGTGGAAATAGGTTAAAAGGTAGCACACATTTCTTTGTTTTTCTTTTGAATATATCATTGCTTTTTTTGCTTGATGTATTTTGTATGTTGATATGAATATGAATTGTTTTCATTAAAACAGGAGTTAAAACATACAAAGAGAGAGCGCATGACCACCCTAGTGTAATACCGCTTTATTGTAATGAGGATTAAAAACTTTTCAAAATTGCACTCACATTTGCATGTCTGCATAGAAAGTGATCCACCGCGAGGTCACTGTAAGATCTGAAGCGTCTGGATGATCCACTGTCGACCGGAATCTATTAAGGACTGCACTGGAGGCATAGTGACAGACTGCTGGAGTCCTTTCCCACTGCGCATGGACCAGACGCATACACAGTGGTCAGTCACTGTGCCTCCAGTGCAGTGCATAATAGATTGCGGTCGACATTGGATCATCCAGAGGCTTTGGATCTTACAGGGACCACACGGTGGATCACTTTATATGCAGACATGCTTGACACCAATGTGAAAATGTGAGTGCAGTTTTGAAAAGTTTTAATCCTTATTACAATAAAGCAGCATTACACTAGGGTGGTCGTGCGCTCTCTTTGTATGTTTTAGGTCCTTTCTCACACCCCAGTGGAGATAAAAGAGAGCTGCAGTACCCCAGGAGACAAAAAGGATAAGAGATAAAGTACTTGGATGTTTTATGTTGTGACGTTTCCCATCCATCATGGTACCGTAGTGGTCAGCGCACAAGCTAGTTTATTATTTCTTCTGTTTATGTATTAAAACAGGAGTACATTTACTCATAACGCTTGCTACAGTGCCTGAAAGTCGATATATTTAAGCATTTTATTCTGAATTTTTTTTTTTTTTTTTAAGTTTTAAAATTGTTAATGCTATGTTTTTTTTTTCTTCTTTACTAAATTTTTTCACACAGTACTTTCACATAAAAGCTCATATACATGCCCATAAAACAAGTTTACATTTACTTGTACATATTCTAAAAGATTCTTCTATAAAGTTAATAGAAACTCCCATCATGCATTGTTTACACGATTAAAAAAAATAATTAAAAAAAAAATATATATATATATCAGCTATCAAAGCACACACAGGGGAAATGCCCAGTCAGGGAAAAAAAATAATAATAATAAAAAAAAAAAAAAAACACAAGTCATCTGTTTATGCGTGTTAAACATGCATGTCCAAAGCACAGCAAACTTAATAAAGTGTGAGAAAGCCTTCGGTTTAAAACTACAATTATTAGAAAAAGAAAATATCTGAGCAAAGTGGATATGGGGGATATCCTACACAGAGTTGACTTTGTGCCCCGAGATCCCCTTGAAGGACACTGCTGTCATTCCTTTCTTCTGCCTAAAATGGTTGACCATATAAAATAGGTTACATTCAACTATACAGCAACATAAAAAGGTGTTACAAAAGACCTTTGAACACAGTTCTCAAGTTACAAGCCGTTTCTTATTTTTTTTTGCAGGGAAAAACAACGTGTTTGCTCTAATGTCGCTCTTCCCAGCACCACATACTCACCTCTCATTGGCTCCCTTCACTAATTCCTTTGGCACCCAGAAGGAAAGAAAGCCTTGTGAAAGTTCCAGGTCAGTCTAATCCGAGCTTACAAAGCCCTGAGGACACTACTCTCCACCACATGACAGCTCCAAGCCAAACACATAGCAGCAGTGTTGTCACATTAGAAAGAGGACAGGGAGAGACATGCTCATCCATACCCAAAAGTACTGGGTATTCCCTTTGCTCCTGGTAGCTGTATGGAGCAGCAGGGTAGCTTAAGAAAGGTATGCTCTTGAAGGTAAGAGGGCATTAATAATAGCCTTTTGCTTTACCCTTTGCTGAACACTGTTTCAATTGGTTGGCAGAAACAAATACCCAGTACTTTAAGGTATGTGAAGCCTAGGACTCTGCTTCCCATTAGAAAAAGCTGGCAATTGATGATTGGCCACTCAGCTACTGTATGCCATTACATGGGGGCAGAAACAGAGTCTATAGCCCCATGCAAGCTCTAAATGATAACGTGAAGAGTACGCAAGGCTTGTACCAATGGCCAAAATGGAGTGGAGGGGAAATGTTTAGATTGTAAGCTCCACGAGCAGGGCCCTCCTATTCCTTCTGTACTGAAATGTATTGTACTGTCTCCCTTATATTGTAAAGTGCTTCGCAAACTGTTGGCGCTATATAAATCCTGTATAATAATAATAAAACATGAGAGGCAGAAAAGTGTAAGCAACTGGTACAGCCATCATTAAATAAAATCTGTTTTTCCCTGCATGGACAAAATACAGACTCAATTTAAATTTCTCAAAGAGATTCACTTAAATTGTTAGTGGACCCAATCTTTGCAGAATTAACAAAATGTTAAAATGCTAAGAAATGCACAAATATTCCTTTTTTTTTTTTTTTTTTTTTTTTTTTTTTTTTAACTGAAACATAAAATGCTACCTTTAGTTTCTGTTTGATATTAACATGTCGGGGAGATGCATTCTTTGTATCCTCCATTCGGGAAGACACATCTTCTTTGCGCACAATCGTTTGCACTACCGGTGGACGATCTGACTCTTTAAATCTCTGTGATCTGTATGCATCGATGCTGCAAGGAAAGATTAAGTTACAGAAAAATTAAACACATCTCACCTTTGTGAAATCGCTCATCCGTACAAATGTTTTCTTACCTGTACAAGAGATTTTGATTTTCCTCTATAGATCTAAAACTGTCCTTTGATTCTGCTCTAGGTACCCTAGTCCTTTGGAACTTTCCTGATTTAGGGTTATTAGAACTTGCACTAGTCTCTACTTGTACCTTGGAAGGTGACAGTGAAAAAGAGAGAAGTTCCTGTAAAAAAAAAAAAAAAAAAAAAAAAAAAAAAAAAAAAAAAAAAAAAAAAAAATGGATTCACTAGTAATATTTTTTTTAATCAATACTAAATTTTTTGGCTTCTTCACCTACCTCTGGACTTCCAACCCCAACAGTCTCTGCTAGCGGAGTTAGCAAAGACATTGAAGAAATGTTGAGTGCATCATCATCTTCCTCACCAGAACTGTCACCTCCTTTATTGCTTTCGGAATCATATGAAACCCTTTCCAATAGCGAAGTAGGTACTTCATTTTCATCTTCATTTTCAAAAGCATCACTAAATATGCTGTTGATCATTTCTGAACTGTTAGTCTCATCAATGCTTCCATCTACATTCATCTCAATCTCTCGAATCACTTCCACTGTAATGACAAAAAGGTATCAAGGAAAAAAAATGTATAACATATGGGGTAAAGGTTGCAGAAACAATTTTGTTTTCTTTTTAAATAACAAACATGTCATACTTATCTGCTCTGTGCAATGGTTTTGCACAGAGCAGACCTGATCCTTCTCTTCTTGGGTCCCCCACTGAAGCTTCTGGCCCCTCCCTCCTACCAAGTGCCCCCACAGCAAGTAGCTTGCTATGGGGCATCAGAGCAGGCTTGCTCCCCAGTGTGTACATTCACACACATACATGGCTCGGCCCTGCCCCCTGATCCTTCTTATTGGCTTACTGGCTGTGATTAACAGTAGCGGGAGCCAATGGCTCCTGTTGCTGTTGTAGCCAATGAGGAGGGAGACCTGTGACAGACGAGGACATTGCTGGATCGAGACAAGGCTCAAGTAAGTATTGGGGGGGGGGGGGGGGGGTTTCTTATGCCATGCAATCCTTTACTCATAGTATCAATGCAGCCTTACCCTATACAGGGGTTGCGAATACCAGGTTTACATAAAATGTATTAACTCATACATTTTACAGCTTTGAGAAACTTACAAGTAGGGAATGCTTGTCCACCATCTGTGGTACTTGCAGGTAGAGGTTATTATCCAAATCAATTTAATTAAAAAGGGATTACACATTGCCTGGTTTGGACATTTCCTAGCGATACAGGATTTGGTTTCAGAAGAAATATAAAATGGTATGTGTAGGCACCTTAGACAATGATGTAACCCTAATACTTTGATAGCGTAATGTCTGTCCTGCAGGAAAGGCCTATACCAAGAGATCCCCCAGAGAATCAAGATGGAGAGCTTAGTAAATCTGTCACTAGAGAGAATATGCCTTTCTTACACCCAGAAACTTTGAAAAGTAGGACTTCAATAGACCGAAATATGGTTGAAATAGGAGGGTTTAGAGTTATATTCTTTACTAGGAGCTTGTCAGAAGGGCACCATATAAATATGCATTTTTATTTAAAAATGGAGACCTATTACAGAGGTATTCTATCAAATGCCATAGCAACCAAACACATTTCCATTCTCCTTTCTAAAATTGAAATTATTATGGAATTGGATTTATTGCTATAACACCATCATTGTTCTTTTACCACGTATGTTGAGGACACCCTGCCATTAGTGGCAAAATAATACTCTATGACAATCAGATGTTTTTCAATCCCTAAAATTAAACAAACCTTTATCCTCACTAGACTTTACTTTGTTACTGAATCCTGGCTTCTCCAATGGCACTAAAGACGGTTGCACAGATTTCTCAGGACTTTTTATATGCTCAGCTATCTTTTTTTGGGTGTCACCTAGAAAATGTGGATAAAAGTAAAAACAAGAAAATGAGTTAGTGCCAAATTGCTAGTTGAAGGTCAGTTTGCATCACTAATCATCAACTGGCCTGTATATCTGCCACTGAATTACCAGAGGTTAATATGAATCAATGAGGACAGTACAAGTATTGACCAGGATTAATGGCAGGTAAAATATACTTGCATATAGATAGAATGCAGCTTTTAGCTACAGACAATACATTTAGACACAGGCTGTGTAGCCTTAGTTTGGAAAGGGAGAACAGAGTCAGGAACAAGACGTATTAAAAATTAGAAGCAATCTTTGAAAATCACAGCTTAATAAGTTTGCCAGAATTAATGGTCTACCTCTTTCATGCAGTAATGACGGTTGATAAAAGGCAGGTGTCCTTATGTCTGAACACATTAATACCGTCAATCATTCCTACTTACGTGCTGTACCCTTCTCTGGAGAGACAGGCACTCTCTCAGCAGCTGGATGGGAGATTACATTTGGCTTTGGTGGCTTGCTAGAAGTCACTGGATGAGCTTGAATTTCCTAAAGGGAAAGGACATTACAATAGCTCTTGAGAAAAGATAATTATGTATACAATACTGACAAAATTAAAGTGATATAAAAGGCAATTTAAAACACACACACACACACACACACACACACACATACTTACCTGCTCTGTGCAATTGTTTCACATACAGCAGCCCGATCCTCCTCTTCTGGGGTCCCCTGCCAGCACTCCCGGTCCTTCCCTCCTACCTAGCGCTGCCAGAGCAAGCAACTTGCTTTGGAGGCACCCAAGCAGGCTCGCTCCTGAGTCACTGCTCTGTGTGTCCTTTCACACACACAGCCACGACACAACTCTGTCAAACCCCCTCCCCCAATTCCCATCATTGGCTCACTGGCTGTGCTTGATCTAAAGGCTCAAGATTTTTTACCATTCATGTATTCTATGCATGAAGATAAAAAACCTACTGTGAGCAACATCCTCCCCAGCCCTCCCAATTCTCACCTAACCCCACTCTCGATCCAGTGATGCGCACTGCAGCCTTGGCTATCCTGGGACTCCATCGCCTCATTGGCCAAGACAAAAGAGGGAGCCATTGGCTGCTACTGTCAATCATAGCCAGTGAGCCAATGAGAAAAGAAAGCGGGTGGGGCCAGAGCAGCAGGTGCCCTCATAACAAACTGCTTGCTGTGGGGGCACCCGACAGGAGGGAGGGTCTAGGAGCATCGGCAGGGGACCCGAGAAGAGGAGAATCTGGGTTGCTCTGTGCAAAACCACTGCACACAGTAGATATATAGACATTGTTTGTTTTTTTTTATAAATGAATCCTTTAGAATCACTTTAAAAGTCCAAATTCACTTCACATCCAATCGCAACCTTGTTGCTTAAGAGAAGTCTTATTAGCTCCATAATACAAATCTAAAGTCTACAGGTTAACAAAGAATAAAATGTATGATTCGTTGTACAAAACGTTTAAGAAAGCTGTGCCAAATGCGTAATTTTTGCTGAGTGTAGCTCCCGTGTGTAAAGTTTATTTCTACAGAAACCCGTATAAGTAAAAGTCACATATTCAATTTTAAAAAAAGCTGCAGATCAATTACTTGTATAGAATGAAGGGAACTCTGAAAGTATGAATACCATTTTCATTCTATAGTAAAGGGCTTTATCATTTCTGATAGAATACAAGTTTCCATTACCCGTTGAGTCTCTTGATGCTTGGCTTTAGCTGTGTCTTCCTTGTCTGCAGTCCACACACTTCCTTTCTCAAATCGGGAACGAATGGCTGCAAGTTCCTTTTCACGTTCCTGATCATAAAAAAAGTAATAGAACTCATTTACTCTGCTGAACAGAAAATGTAATTTCCTATTGAATATAGCTGTCTGTAGATGCCCGTACCTTTTTCTGCTGCTGTGCTAAGCTAGCAGTACTGGATACATCACTCTGCTTGAAAAGCCTTTCCTGGATACTTTTTGTTGTTGGTGTCACCACAGCAGACTTCAGTGCAGTGTTTACAGGTGCTGCACTTACAGGTGTGCGTTCTTGACACTTCTCTCCAAATCGCTCCAGGAAGGACTTAACTCCTGGACCACCTACAGGGCAATAATTGATTGGATAATTTAGTGAGATTCACAAATAGAAAAAGTTGAACTGAGTGCAGAGTATGATGTATTTAATAAACCAGAAGGTGTACTATGTACTTGAACATGTGAGCCTACTGGGAACTTGTGTACGGATAACATTCCATGAGAAAGAAAAATATGAAAAATTATTCAGTAAAGCAATATACTGTAAGTAGTGTGACAGTGCTAGGCTCTGCCACTTTTTGAGTACAGGCAGAAGACACACAGGGTTGTCAAAGATACAGCTTGAGGGGCTCTAGAGTAGAGCAGAGAAGCCTGGGTTTTCAGTTTTCTATGGGTTCAGGGATCTGCAGTCCAAAGGCTTTAAAGAGTCTCATGGGACAAAGCCTTCAACCCAGTATCCAGCTCTTGCAGAAGACCAGCAGGGTGAGTTCAGGTGCGTACAACCCTTATGACAGGCTTGGTCATAGCTCAGAGCTTTTATCAGGAGACAGGTGTGTGCTCCATCCAGGAGAGACGCACCCCCGTCAGGGGGAAGGTGTGGGCTCCCATTAGGAGAGGCGCTCCATTTGAGAGACAGGGATCCTTGTTGGAGGAGAGATTGCTTACCTACAGGACTGAGGGTTAATTCACACTATATGCGGGCGTTTTACTGCAGGGACACACACACGTTTCCTTTGTGTCCCATGCATCTTATTGCAGTGCACTGGACCAAAATGTACTACAATGTCAGGCAGCACAGCAACATTGCAGTGAATGAAGTGTACAATTTATACACTTCAAATAACCCTCCAACAAAACAAAAAACTACTAAAAAAAGGGAAGAGGAGCGGTGTGATGTGTTGAATCCCTCATCACGCTGCCCCCTATGCAGCCAGCAATGCAGAGCAGCCAAAGCAGTAAATGGCTCTGGCTGCTCTGTGATTGATCAGATTTTAAGTGTGAATGTGCCCAGAGGGTCAAGGCAGCTAAGCAAGTCCAGGAGACTGGGAAAGCTGGGACAACGACTCAGGGGTCTGAGGGAATCTGGAGGTATTAGAGCAGTGAGAGCCTAGGGTGCCAGGAGATCCCCTACTGAGAAGCCAGGGATTGCGCCTGTGCAGCATGGTGCTGTAAGCACAGGCTGAGTGAGCCAGGAGAGTCCAGAGAGCCAGGAGGGCTGGAAGAGACGGTCTGAGGGACCAGTGAAAAGAGCAGTGGCACTGCTAAAGACAAGCCAGGTGGCTTGACACTATTATTGTGTCACTTACAGTATTTTGATGGTGGGGTTCCTGCATGGACAAATTTTCTGTTGAACCTTAACTTTCATATTTAATAAAAGTGGGCTGACAAGCCCAACAACAAAGTTCAGACTGGCAGGTTCTCACTAAAATTGCCAATACCACCAAGTTACAATTACCTCCAAGATCACAGTAAGAAAGCACAAAATTTAAAAAAAGAGTAGCCACCAGGCTACATCATGGACTCCCCTGATTTATCGTGCTCTTACCTGGTGTTACCGTCTTTTCCTTTTGCACTACAGGTGTTCTACTAATCTCTTCCCTAGGGGTTGCTGGGAAAGTGGTGAATATTTTTGATGTTGGCCTCTCTACTCTCTGTGGGGTACACTTTTCTATTTGAGCAGGTGGTTCATTCTTCTCCTTTAGCTTGGAAGGTACAACATTTGTGATTCTATCTTCTATTGGTTTTGGTGCATCATTAATAACGGTGTTTGTTACTGTAGAACGTGAAGGTTTTGATTCAGAATGTGTAGACACCTGTAACAGAAAGCATATTGTCTAGAGTTAAAAAGTAAAAAATAAATAAAAAATGAGATGGTTGGAAACACAAGGCGATGAACATTAAAATGCAGTGGGCTGCATTTTAATCACAGCGCAAGGCACAGGATACCATGCACTCTGCCACGCTGCAGCGCACAAACCTTTGGAATTGCAATGGGGTAGTATTCATAATGAATAAGAACAACAGCTCAAGCATGCAGCATCTGCTACCACACCACAGTGGTGTGAATGGGCCTTTACATACTAGGTTATAAATCCTGATCCCCCCTGCAGTTCCACCTGTTAAAAAGGCTGGCATCATCAAAAATAAGCCTTAAGATTGTTTATTTGGTGCCTGAAGGAGTAGGGTCCCCATAGTCTTCATCTGTTATTAAATATCAATGTACCCTGGAAATACTCTTTACATTAATAAGAGCTTGAATAAAAAACAAAGTAAACCTTAGTAAGTACTATGTACAGATTTATTATTATTATTATTATTATTATATAGGTACTTATATAGCGCCGTCAATTTACGCAGCTCTTCACATATATATTGTACATTCACATCAGTCCCTAACCCTCAAGGGGTGTACAATCTAAGGTCCCTAACTCACATTCATACATACACATACTAGAGACAATTTCGACAGGATCCAATTAACCTACCAGCATGTCTTTGGAGTGTGGGAGGAAACCCCACGCAAGCACAGGCACAGGGAGAACATGCAAACTCCAGGCAGGTGGTGCCATGGCTGGGATTCGAACCAATGACCCTAGTACTGCCAGGCGGAAGTGCTAACCACTTAGCCACTGTGCTTATTAGTAAACATCTTTTCAATCAACTTTTGAAAAGCCATAAAATGCCTTTTCCCCCCTCCCATGTTTTGTTGTCACATGGCGGCAATTCTTCAGTGCAGAGCAGCAAGTGGGCATGACTGACATACAGGCTTGGGATTGAAAGCACCATCAATCAACAGTGCAAGGCTGGATGGGAAGGGGGGAGTGACTGAAAAACAGACTTGAAAAGCGACCTGTGTCTCACAACATAAAGACATGGGACCTAAACGGACCATGCTAGCATGAACTGGCTTCCGTATTTAACACGTCAATTTACCAATAAGAAGGGAGAATGGAAGGTTCAACTAGGTATTCTAAACAGAAATCATACAACATGTAAAAAAAGAATATGATACAAACACTTGTCATATTTAAAAGAGATAAATGACTTGGATTTATTTAGATTTTAAAGTAACAGACAGCCTAAAAGTGAGAAATCTCAGCTTTATTAACAAAGACCACAATTTTGGTAACAATTTGCTCAGTAAAATACAATGGCATATTATGTGTTGGGACAATGGACTTTTAGCAATGGGCAAAAAAAAAAAATGCAGAAAATGCCAGAGCTACTTCTGTCCCTATGGGACCCTATGGCTATGGGACCCTATGGAGTTTATTTACTAAAGCTGGAGAGTCCAAAATCAGACTCCCTTCTGCATAGAAACCAATCAGCTTCCAGGTTTCATTGCCAAAGCTTCATTGAACAAGCTGAGGTTAGAAGCTGATTGGTTTCTATGCACAAGGGAGTCTGATTTTGGACTCTCCAGCTTTAGTAAATAAACCCCTATGGGTCTATGGGAATGCAAAACTTGAAGAGGTCAACTGCAAAATAAAGACACCTTTCAATGAACTATGAGTGAGTGATCTCAAAGTGCCCCTGATGTCAAAAGCAAGCGGAATTTGCCCAAATGGACACAAGCCCGTATTGTCCCCTGCATATGTTTGTTTCCAATTTAAACCTTGCAAAGAGGCTGGTAGCAATGTCAAGAACATAAACCATGAGAGCTGCATGCCATGAGTGATTTGAGAACACTCTCTTCCCTGGGGTCTATAGACTATCATTCTGGTTGTCATACCTATCCTTTTACACTCAATACAAGTAGATTTTTTTTTTTGGACTCCCTTGGCTTTCATGCTATTTATTTTTATACCAGAGGATCATTAGCAGCTCATTAGAGTATTTAATAACTAGAGGATCTGTCTGATATTACATATACTGTATGTATTGCTGGGAATCAGTTTTAGATATAAGATTTAAAGACCCAGGTATTTTATCAGAAATGTTCAACAATTATTCTGTTGGGGATATAGATTTAATAACATTGGCATATAATGTTTTGGGTTAGGAATAATACATACTATTGTTTGTTTGTGACTATGGGTTGCTAATAAAGCATGAACAGTCTAACAGTGAGGCATTTGTAAGGGGTGCATTCCTCTGTCTTGTGAACAGTACCTTAATGTAAATGTTAGAATTGCGTTTTTTTTCTGAATCCGTTTCCTGTATTTATTGCGTGTGTATTATTTATTTTTATATATATATATATATATATATATATATATATATATATATATAAAAAAAATTATTATTATTATACAGGATTTATATAGCGCCAACAGTTTGCTCAGCGCTTTACAATATAAAAGGGAGACAATACAGCAACAATACAGTTCAATACAAGAGGGATAGGAGGGCCTGATCACTGGAGTTTACAATCTAGGAGATCTATCTATCTATCTATCTATATATATATATATATATATTTTATATTTTTTTTTAATAATAGCAAATCACATTAGCTTACAGGCTGTGCTTCCTGCCCAATGCCTGTGGTCTTACAATTACTACTGTCCTTGGAATCTGGTTTAACTCATTAAACAATGCACTCTCTACATAACTGATATGTTATGTAAATCGTTACAATTGTTACTAAACAGAGATTATATTTGTTAAGGTCTCCCTCTAGTGGTTATTCTACAAATCTGAAATAAATAAAACCGCAAACAAGTAGCATAAAAAATAAAAAAAATTAAAAGTCACTTTAAAAATTTCTTAACGTATTATTTGACACCTTATGTATATAATCTTGTTTAACATGGAACTTTTACACAAAAATCATAAAATAACAGATCTAATCATAAAGTTAAATAAACAGATTCTATAAAACTACATACCAGTGTGCTAGGAATCGTTGCTTTTTTCACAGCCTCTTCTTTGGGTTTTTGAGATAAAGCTTCCTGCCGGACAGTATGACTATTGATGCTGGAAGATGCGGAACTGACAGTGGACACTTTCGATAAACAAGTGGTACCAGGCTTTTCTTGTGTATTGTTTGGTTTAACACTTGAATGACTCAAGTCATCTTCCCAGGACCCGATCGTAGCAGCCAGGTTAGCTAAACGAGTTCTCCGGCCCATGGGAGTTTCAGCGTTAACTATGGAAGTCTGTACCTTTGGAGGGGAAGGTACAATTTCTTTGGGTGGGTTGCTAATAGGAGGGGACTTTGGTGGGCTACCTGTGGATGAAAAAGAAAAAAGAACAAAAAAAAAAACCACAATCTTCATACAGAGTAAAAAAAAGAAATTGCATGCCCACACACAAATGACTGAATGAATGTTACAGTTGTGCTCAAAAGTTTGCATACCCTGGCAGAAATTGTGAAATTGTGGCATTGATATTGAAAATATGACTGATCATGCCAAAAAATGCTGTTATTGAAGGATGATGATCGTATGAAGCCATTTATCATCAAATAGTTGTTTGGCTCCTTTTTAAATCATAATGAAAACAGAAATCACCCAAATGGCCATGATCAAAACTTGGCATATCCTGGAATGTTTGGCCTTGGTAAAGACCTACAAGGTGACACACACGGGTTAAAATGCTAATGACAATCTTTCTTGGTCTACCTGACCTTGGCTTGGTATCAAGAGATCCCCGAACTTTCCACTTAATAGGTGATTTAACAGTACTGATTGGCATATTCAAGGCTTCTTTTTAAGACATCTTTTTATGTCCTTTTCCATCTTTAAAAAGTTCCATTACCTTGTTACGCAGGACTTTTGACAGTTGCTTTCTGATCACCATGGCTCAGTATCTAGCCTAGTCAGTGTTTCCACATAAGTGCTAACAAACTTATTGACTATTTATACACTGACACTAAATTGCAATTTAAAAAGCAACAGATGTGGGACATTAACCTCTAATTGGCATTTTAACCCATGTGTGTCACCTTGTGTGTCTGTACCAAGGCCAAACATTTCAGGGTATGTAAACTTTTGATCATGGCCATTTGGGTGATTTCTGTTATCATTATGATTTAAAAAGGAGCCAAACAGCTATTTGATAATAAATGGCTTCATATGATTATCATCCTTCAATAAAAGAACATTTTTTGGCATGATCAGTCATATTTTTCAATATCAATGACACAATTTCTGCCAGGGTATGCAAAGTTTTGAGCACTACGGTATATTAAAGTGGAACTCTTCATTCATGAATAGCAATTTGACGTTACAACTGCTGAATTCCTGTTAAACTATTCTTTCTGTGCAGCCAAATATTGGTTTTGCCATTGTTCTCCCCCTGATAGGGGTCATCCTTAGTGATTGTAGCCCTATCATAAATCTCCAACTTCAAGCAGAAATTAAAAAAATAAAATAAATGCAGCTCTTTATTCATAATACATCATTAAGGTTCCATTCATGTTGCAGAGGTAAGAAGTTTTACCATGTGATAAATGCAACATGCCTACTGCACTGCCATTCACCTGAATGGCACTCCAACACACCTGTACTATCCACCCTGTCACACTCCCCGCTGGCTTTGTGGTGTGTTGGCAACCATTCAAAATGAATGAAATGCCTTAACAAAATGCATGTTACCACCTAAAACAACACGTATTATCATGTGCTCAAGACAACTCAGACGTGTGGAACAGGTTATTAAATGTAAGTATCAGAATACCTTTGGCTTCAGCCCTTTGTAATCCCCTGTACAGCTGAGCTTAGACTGGGAAAGGGAAAAGCAACACAACAGAGATGCTGGTAGGAGGAGGGAGCAGAGAGAGAAGCTCATCAATCTGCTGCTTCTCTTTTTACTGTCCAGTCAAAGACTGGAGTCAGAACAAGACCTGTAGGTGTCATATAACCGCAACAGGAAAAAAAAGCCTCCTACCCAACCAGACAGGTATGCTGTGTTGCAGAACTGTGTAAATCTTGCAACTGGATGGACAGAAATACAAATCCTTTAACAGCCACTGTACATTTATTTAATCTATTTACAGTAGCGGTTTTCCTGAATTTAGCTTTCAAGGTTGCAATACTTTCTGTGCCCAGTAAATGCACATATTGTGAAAAAGCAGCAAAGTACTTTAAAACAAGCCCTCTTTTACCTTTGTAGCTTTACACATTGCAAATAAATTACACTTCAAAGATCACAACAGAAGCACTGAAATCAAGGCTCCTTTCTCCTTGTTTTCCATGGCATGCTACCAGTTTTCCAATGTAAGCAAACAGTGGGTGCTACTTTAGATTTTGTGGTCTTTGAGAATGAATTACTTTAGAGCACAAACAGCTACAAAGGTCAGTGATTTCATGTTTTAAAGCTTTTTTACTCTGTGTTCAAAATTTGAAGTTTATAATTTGGGCACAGGGCAGCCTGCCCCCAGGCTTCAAAGCACTATATCTGTTCACTGAGAGCCTCTGTAAACAAGTACAAGAAAATATTTTGGACTGCCATTAAAACTGTATATTAAGTTACTGGTATTTTCAATCAAATGACCTAGATTTTTTTTAAAGGATAGCACTAGTTAGCAGCTTTTATATTACAGTAACAACTAAATATGTGCAAAGTAATAGAACTACAAAAGTGAAATGAGGGTGGTAATGGATTCTTGTTACCATCATTATCCCAATATCTCCGCTGATCAGCAAGCCTCTGCATACGAGTCCTCACTGAAGATGCTCCTGGATCTTCGGAGTTCAGTTTCGGCTCTTCTTTACTGGTTACAGTGGTTCTTGGTGGAGTCTGCTCTGTGGGCCTCACTTGTGGATGTGCAACAACAATCTCTGGCTGTGTACATTTAGCAATTTCTGGGCTTTTTGGTTGTTTGTTCTCAGTTCCTAATATTTTGTTTTCATCAGAGCAGCGCTTCTTTGAAGGAGATGGTTTTGAGCATGGTTTCTCTGAAAAGAGAACAGATTTTTTTTACAGTGAACCAATACAAGTATTTGGGGGGGAAAAAAAGGCAATATAAAAAATTAAAAAAAATAAGGCTGGACAAGACTAATTCCCATGGGAAGGCACCCAAAATGTCTACAGTACTTGATCCTTTAAAGGAGTTCACCTTTTAGAACATACTATGGGTGTGACATGTAACATGTTCCAATACCCCTCCCTCTCCCCCGCAGCTCCTGTCACATTTAAAATTGGCAAGGCTGCTGGGGCTCCTTCCACGAAACCACATCATTCATTCACTGCGATCTGTAAAACAGTCAACTACAAGTCCCATCTGCAACTGTAGCAGAGAGCTTGTAGCTCTCAATGGAATACAAGAGCACTGATCAGCACCCTCGTAGTCCATTCACATTTCCTCCAGCTTTCTAACTGAAAGCCCGTACAGAAGTATAGGCATAAAGCTGGAGGATGTGTATGCAGGAGCTTGACATTGCACCCATAATCCGCTGCCTGCAGGTGCAGTGCTTTGCAGGCTCCAGTGAGAAATAATAAATGCAGGCCCTAGTGAGAATAAATGCATCAATCATTTTTTCCTAAGAGGTGTATGTTAAAAAATAAAAAAAAAATAAAAAAAAAAAAAGGAGAAGGACAAGTTCAGGTTTACCTAAGGTACTACAAAGTGGAAGGGTTAGAACCTCTGCCTTTTTTTTCATTCACCTGTGTCCCTGTAAAAAGATTCAACCACCTCATTTGTCTTGGTGACTTATCACCCAGACTAAAAGTTGTCACCAGTACAGGAATAGGAGGGGAAATCTTCCAATAGGAACACAAATGACAATTTACCTAAACGTGATTTCCTTCACTTTGGAGAAATTTACTTCTCACTTCCATTTGTGTCCACAAGACAGGAGTTAAAAGGGAAAAACCTCTCCAGGAAACTCAACAGGGATTTTAAAGCTCCTCTACTATATGCATTAAAAAAAAAAAAACGTTTTGGTTTTAGATGCATTTACATTGGTTTCTGTGACAGTCTTTGTTACAGTAACAAAAGATTTCAGAAATGGAATTTATAATCCAGCTTTTTCACTATGATTGTATACAAATTTGATACTTTTAATGTCCAAACTGAAAATACATACACAATAGTTTAATGCATAACATTTACCAAAAAAACAAAAAAAAAAAACAAAAAACAAAAAACAAAGATATGTAATGCATACCATTTACAAACTGTGCTATCTAACTGCTCACTACAATACTCAATCCATCAAAAAAGAGTTACATTTTAAAGGATGTTCTCAAAATCCAATATTTCTTTTATTGAACAGACTAATGGAAAATTAATCTGCTGAACTCGTGTCTTAGAGTAGTCTGCGAGTTGCCTTTGTCTTTACCTTCTTCAGCTTGTACAGGTGGCTGGCGATTGGTCTCTGTAAGTGGCCTTTTGTTTAATGCTGCCATCCGTGCTCCAGCCGTGGGTCTATCGGCCATCTTCTTTTGAAGATTTTCTCTCCTGGCTCGCGTCCTTTCAAGCAATTTCTAAGACATAAGGTGTTAGAGATTTTAGAGACAAAGCTACTGTGTGGTGACCAAGAATACATTTGTGTTGTTTTGTATCATGCTTATATAGGACCACTGCAAAGACATACCTGTTGCTTTACCTATGGTGTGTAACATACAGTATTTTATACTGCCTAGTCTAATTTTTAACAGAACACTTTAGACAAATTCTTGTAATTTGTAGACACCAGGAATCTGTTTAGAGAAATGTCACACCACCGATTGAAGTAGTATGGCACACGTTGCCACCTCTTCACCCAAAAGCAGTGTATTTATCTCCTCTTCCACGACAACTCATAGTGCCACTACACAGACACAACAAGTGCTTTAAGAAGAGGTCCATGAAGACAAATAGACAGATCAGCCAAAATGAACATTATACTTTTAGGCCTCGTTCACACCAGTGTGCAGAGATGTCAGTTTTTATGTAAGCATTCTGCAAGGGCAAAAAAAAAAGAAATAATTGTTC